TCGAAAACGCTATTAATCTCGGTTTAATTGTTTTTCTTTTATCCTCACCTAGTTCCAAAACTTGGCAAAACATAAAAAGCAAGTTAAACCGAAATTAAAGTTAATTTACATCGACAGAAATGGATATTAGAACGATTTTAACTCCGTTTAACTTAATCGGCGCTTGGGGCCACTTTAACCAACTCCGATTAACTTTAAGCTTAGCTTAATTCATTCGTTGTCTCTTTCCAACTGTTACTTTAGCAAGAGACAAACGTGAACGAAACTAAGATCAAAGTTAAGCGACGTTCGGCGAAACCGGGCCTTAGTCGAACCGGCGGAATTGCCCGCAGTATAAAATTTCCACCTGCACAATTCGCTGTCTCTAATCCAATCTTTTCTCTTCCACGTGTCGAGCGGCAAAAAACATTAACCGCTCCATCGTTTAAGAGACCGCAAGGTGTCACCTGACGAGTTAATCGCCGATTAAGTTAATCAGAGCTTAGTTTCGGAGTTTCACCCTCGTAAAATCAGGTAGGGGCGAGGGTGCGGGGGGAGAGAGAGAGGGCCAGGTCCCCGGGTGCTCGGACGCGCGTAACCAGCCCTGAGGCGGCAGCGGGGGAGGGGGTTGGCGAACACGTAGATAGTCGCGGCAGAGGGTGGGGGTGGGATGGCGAAACGAGGGTGTCGGTCGCGAGTCGATAAACCGCGGGGCTGAACGCGAGCACCCTTGCGCACGGCTACAACATGGCGGACGGTGAGTCCCATTCCCATTTACCCTCGGCAGCCCTGCTCGGAATGCCGGTCGGACTGCCCGAGCGTGTGTCGTACGATCGATTCCCGCGGCTCCGCTGCTCGTCTCGCGGCCGATCGGCGGCTCTTCGGTGCTCCTCGCCAAGGATTTCCGCTTTCGAGCGCGCGCGCTTTTCGTCGCTCTCTCTCTCTCTCTCTCTCTCCCTCTCTCTTTCTCTGGCTCTCACTCTTTTTCCGTCCCTCGAGAGAAGGGTGACTAGTGATCGACACCCGTAAAGTGCGCGCGCGAAGATTCATCCCTTTCTCCGTCTGTCCATCTGTCGCGGAGGACACGGTGGAATTAAGCCAGCACGCGTTCCTTTTTCAGACGAGGACCAATCGATATGCGGCTCAGGGAGTCCGTCTCGGTCCCGGTGCCGCTGCATCCCGGTGGACTGAACAACAAGTAAGTAATTCCCGACGACGAGGTGGGATTAGGGGAGGGGGAGCGCCCGGGTAAGGGGTTAATTGGAGGCCGGCCGGACCGGCGATCACGTGCGTAGATAATGATCGTTCTGATCGAGGCGCCGGGAAACGGAAATGCGAGCGCCGCCGGTCCGCGGCGAGCCGCCACTTTGTTCTCCTCGTATTACGTAATGCGTTTTCGCAAGCGCCGGTTTTAGTGGCCGTTACGTCAGCGCCCGTTTTTAGATGTCAATGTTGTTTTTCACAACGAGCTCTCACGGCACGTTGCTTGTAACGCGCTACGGTAATTTTGACCCCTAGTAAAATGCCCACTTTACCCAGACAGCATGCGTGTCCAAAAGACATCTTCGAGACGGCGTCAAGTTGTCTTTTAGGGCCAGCTTGACAAACGTCGGTTAACTGTTAACCAGAGTCCAGTCAACTCCTTATCTTGTTCTATTTTGTTATCTAGGAAGAGGCAGAGAATCAATTAACCTTCGATTGGCAGTTAACCGCACTGGAAAAAAATCTGATAGATTCAACCAGTCTGTCTGTTAAAAAAATGGACGAATCAGAATTTCTTTAGGATTTATCAGGTGTGTAGTGAAGTCTAGCAAACTTCTGGTTATGAAATACCTTTCATGGTAAATCCTAAAGGAATTCTGATTCGTTCGTTTTCTAACAGACGACTGGTTGAATCTATCAGATCTTTTTGGTGTGGTTAACCAGAAAATGAAAAACCGGGCCTTAGACACGCGTCGCTATCTGGGTTACCTCGAGCGCTCTGAACAATGATAAGTGAAGTAGGACTGATATGAATCTGATGCAATTAATTGGAGAGGATGCCAGTTTTTCGGTCGGGCTGGGTCTTGGCAGTCTGATAACATTAGGTTTGTTTTCTGTTCCTGCACTGGTGAACTGGTACAGTAAGCTAGAATGAGGAAAACTATGTTTGTCTTATTCTAATTTATTGCACTAGTTCACCAGTGTAGGAACAGAAAACAGGCCTAATGTTTCTGAATGTGCGAATTTTCTATGTTTTTTCCAACACGGTAAACTGTTGTCAGTCGTCGATCTTAAAATACGACTTTTCGTTGCAACAGTAAATACTTTAAATTAGAGATTAAAAGGTAGTTAAAGAAATAGAAACTATGAGTAAAAAAAGTCTCGGTAAAAAGCTTACTCCATAAAAATGAATTTTTTACTCCATTAATTGCGCAGAATGTTGAGTTTCAAGCGTGTAGACAAAATAAAAAAATGTAATTTTGATGCTTATTTGAAGCACGGCTCTGAAAATTCAACACCAAATTTATTAATATTGGGTATCCATTCCATGTCCTGTGTTAGTCTCACTTTTAATCTACAAAGTAACAATAATCTAACTGTACCTGAAATTTTTGTTAATTTTTATGACACTTTAAACATTAACATAAAGCAACACCATTTTATCCTTCAAAATCGCTGAAAACAATTTTCTATTCAAAACTATCGGTTTTTCTTTTACTTAATTTTTTACCCCATTTTAAAATAATTAACTCGGTTTTTTAAATCTCGATTTTATTTTTTATATCAATAAACATGTTAAAATCGCTGTAAAGAATTTATTGCGAAAATTGTAAGTCCGGATTCAACCCTGAAATTCGTGACAGGTGTCCTTCTATCTTAAGCACCTTGAGTTGTTAAAAAATAATCCATGTTCCTTATCGTCTTTTTAATATATACGTAATTGAGGACATAATCTTTCCTTGCCCGAAGAACATCTCTGAACAGCTCCGTTATTTATCAAGTAATAAAAACTTTCTTGTTTATTATTTTACCGTTACATCAGTAACAGCCTGATTTATCAGCAAACACGTTTGTACTTCCTCAGAGAGACGATATTTTGCTATTCGCGTTGTTCGCCACGGTACATTTGAGCGAAACAAGTTGACGTAACGGCCGCGCCGCGCACGCGGATGTCGCGCAGGCCGCAAATGTCAGTCGCTATAATCTTTGCCTGATTATTTCCTAGTTTATAAGTTACGCTAAATATAAACGTCTGATCCGTGTCCGCGCGCGGCGGCCGTAGGCGTGCTGCCGCCTATGCACGCCTCGGCATCGGCGGGCCCCGAGTGGTACACCTAACGCTAGTATCGATCCACCTGGACTCATTTCTCGGTCTCGTACGCAGCCAGCTCCGCAGGCACAGCCCGAGCCGGAGCGTCGAGGCCGGCGAGATCGGCGATCGCAACGAGAACGCGGCCCAGGAGCCGGCCGCGAGTCCCGCGCCGGGCTATCCGGGCGACGAGTCGGCGGACTTCCGGCTGGCCGAGGACACCACCACGTGGTCCTCGCTGGCGATCGCGCGCGACAACCCGTCGACGCAGCAGCGGCCCGTCAACGTCAACAACAATCTCACCGAGCCGAGGATACGGAGGAGCAGCTCCGTCGAGAGCCTCTCCAATTACGAGGGTGAGTGCCATGTGCTGTGCGTGCGCGAGGGTGTGTGCCATGTCCGCCAACTCGTATCGATTAAGGAGAACCCTCTCTGGATGCTCCTTTTGCGTTTTAAATTTGTACTATACGAGGCAACTACGCGGGGAGAATTCTCCCCTCAAATTTATTCTGAAAAATCACGTAATCGTGGGGCAACCGTGATTTTTGAAGAATTTTCTCAGAGTTTGTTGAAATTTACTTTTGACTAGTAATTATATTTAGTATACGCTTTACTAGTAAAATGGTAAAATTTCAAAAAGCTCTCACAAAGTTGTTCAAATTACCGTGTTGTGGGCAAATTAAAAAAAAATTCTCTCCGTGTACTCTCTTACTTGCGATTCATAATTCAATTATCGAATCAGAGTGGCGATTATGCCTCCGGCGAGATATCGCTTATTGATCATCTCTCGTGTTGACGTTACACGGAGAGAATTCTCTCTTTAAAATTCGTCCTGAAAATCACGTGATCGTGGCACAACCATGATTTTTGAAGAATTTTCTGAGAGTTTGTTGAAATTTACATTTGACTAGTAATTATATTTAGTATACGTTTTACTAGTAAAATGGTAAAATTTCAAAAAGCTCTCACAAAGTTCTTCAAATTACCATGTTGTGGGCAAATCAAACAAACATTCTCTCCGTGTATTCTCTTACTTGCGATTCATCATTCAATTATCGAATCAGAGTGGCGATTATGCCTCCGGCGAGATATCGCTTTTGATCATCTCTCGTGTCGACGTTACACGGAGAGAATTCTCTCTTTAAAATTCGTCCTGAAAATCACGTGATCGTGGGGCAACCATGATTTTTGAAGAATTTTCTGAGAGTTTGTTGAAATTTTACCGTACTTATCACTAGCAATTATACTAGTGAAATTATACTAGCAAAATTTCAAAAAGCTCTCATAAGGTTCTTCAAGATGCCATGTTGTGGGTAAATTAAAACAAAAATTCTCTCCGCGTACTCTCTTACTTGCGATTCATAATTCAATTATCGAATCAGAGTGGCGATTATGCCTCCGGTGAGATATCGTTTAATGATCATCTCTCGTGTCGACATTTCTAGAGGACAGTCCCCTATTACGAGATAGTCTCTTAATATGAGATAGATAGGCATCATCTGTTGGGTCCACCATGAATCTATTACCCTTGGAGTGAAATCTGTTTAATGGAAAATTGATTGTTAGATCGTGTAATCGTTGCGAAGAAAGATTTGTGATTGAATTTGGACGTCAAAAACCCACTATCTCGTGTTAGAATCCTATTTCATACGGGGACTTCCCTTTACTATATTCTGCCTCGGTTAGTCACTCGCGCGCGAAATGACTCGTGTGATTGACGCGTATCGTCAATGCGGCCGGATTCGGATCGCGTATCAATAATTTAAATTTAATCGCATCAGAGGAGAGAAAAGAGGGAGAGAAAAGTCTGTAGAGCGGTAAAGAGGATTTAGGAAGGCGAGGCAATGACTTTTAAGTAAAAGACCTGTATTGTTAGGCACGGTCGAAGAGCAATCCGCCAACGTAAACAACAATCTAACCGAGCTGAGGATACAAAGCAGCAGCTCCGTCGAGAGCCTCGCCGATTACGAAGGTGAGCTCCTTCGTCCCCGAATCATCCCATGCACAATTGAATCGCGTTGAGAAGACGCAAGAGTCTTCTCCGTGCGATTGAATCACGCCGAGGTCCGTAAAAAGAATATTTCGGCTAAGCATAACAAGAATAGGCGAAGCGATTCCAAATGAATTTTCCTTGTCAATCGCGTACGAATCTGCCAAAGCATACCCAGACAATGGAACGCGGACGCACCTGAATCATTAAATCTATTATAATAGTTTCGCAGATCGCCACTTCCGAGCGATTGATTGGCCTACTTTTTAGTCACGCTTCTCTCGAGTGCCGCGCTATGCACGACGCCCGGCATTTTATTGGAAAACAATGACGGTTGAAGGTTTCGTCGCAGAAGCGCGACAAGGCTCGTGAGGCGAACTTCGATATTTTCCATTGGCTGCCATTAATAACGCGCACATCCTTGACATTAACCATCATCCCGTAAAGTGCAGGCTGGAGATTTTTAGTTTAACCAAAGTCACTCGCGCGATCGTGTCGCGCGCAAAATGTGATACACTTTCGCGATAATTAGCCCGCGACGCGCGCTAGTCGCGACATTGCTTATATCGAGAATTTTTTATCTACGAACGCGGTCCAAATTCGTAAATTACCAGCGCCGAGGCAGGGCGCGGAAATACTCGAGATCAATTATTTATAAAATGTACAATTTCTAGAGTCAGTAATCTATGGAATTAACGTTACGATATGCCGATAATTGGAAACTTGAGCTACGTAGCAGCTGATAATAAACCACCGTGCTAATCTGTCCCACTAAACCAAAGTTCCATGCAAAGGGCAGTTTATAGAAAGAGTCTACGCAGCCAAGTCTTTGCACAAGTAATCGCGTATGAAGTCAAAGATCCAGAGCCAGTAGTGGTTCATCACTGATCCGACCAACAGACCTAGCGACGGTACCAAGAATTCTCCAAGACGGAGAACCGTTAAGACCGAACGCAGGGTATTCTTAACGACGTGTGTCGGGCATCGTATGTGTGCGCAAAGTGTCGCGGGTGGGCCGTAGGAGATGATCGGCATTCCCTGCGAGCGCACGAGCCTAGCGGCGCGACGCGACGATGACGATGAGTCACGGGTTACGACGTCCAATTATTCGGCCGAGGCTGAGGCGAGTGTAACCGCGAAATGTTGCAGGGCGTAACTCTCCGCACGAGAACTCGTCGCGCGAGCTGACGCCGTCCGAGTGGTCCGACTGGTCCGAGGAAGGGAACCTGCCGGCGGGCTGCCGCGGCATCGTCAACCCCAACTACCCCGGCTTCCAGCATCTGGCGCCTTCCCTGCTGTCGGACACCGACCTAACCGAGGACGAGCACGACAGCTGCTCCGATTATCCGCCGCTCCACCACCATCACGACGAGGTGGCTCCGTTGCCGGAGAACGACAACGAGTACAACAACAACATCGACGACAGCATCAACCATCTCTGCGGCCAGCGCAACGACCGCAAGATCTTCTACGAGAAGCCCAAGTTCAATATACAGGTAACATCCGTCGTCCGAACGGATTGGCCGTACTTGTAGCTTGGAAGAAACGTTCGCGTCGGAGAGGAGCGCAAAGATGACCGGAAGGCAGATTCGGAAGTCTGCACCCAGTAAGCAAAATGTTAAAAGTGTCCTGGCAGATTTTTTCGGCAGCAAATTTAGTCAGAATTCCACGACGAAACCATAACTGTATTAAGCTTGCATTCTGTCGGCAGAGCCTATGCTGATTGTGAGATGACTTTATGGCATGTTGGCGGCAGAAACCAAACTACATGTAGCAGGATCTGCTAGCGGCCGTAGAGTTTCTGCCACCAATCGGCATAGCATGATAGCAGGTTCTGTCAGTTTATGGCGGTAGTTTGGTAACGTCATCACATAGAACAGATTCTGTGTCAGATCTGCTGCCTTTCTGCCATCAAAATTGATAGCAGACTGTTGGAAATCCGCTTGCGTAGATTTGGCTGCCTGGGTATATACGAGCGACATTATACAAGATTTAACAATGGACGGTATTCATAGTCCAGTCTTATATTGAAGATCTTAAATCTGGTCACGGGCAGTCTTCAGACTTCGCTGACAGGAATGACTTACAGGGCGGTATTCATAGTCAGATCTTATATTTAAGATCGTCTTAAGATACTCCGTAGTCAATGAGATGTTCCATATGGTATTTTTAAATACATTTAAGACGGTCTTCGATGTAAAATCTGATCGAGCCGAGCACCGTCCACTATGTCGTGCGTCTACGTGATCTCGATGTGAAAACTTCGATTCCATATCGAGATTCTTAATTCCAAGATTCCCCTTTCAAAGCGAAGAATTCCGAAGATGTCGAGTGCCAGATGAGCGTCTGTTTAACAGTGCACGAATCTAGATAACTTCCTCTTTTATCCCGGACTTTCTTCGATTCTGAAACCTTCCGCTTTAACGAAGAGATTGAAACGTCGATGAACGATTAATTTATCTGTTTCCCCATTGATCTAAAGAGAGCGTTTGAGTTGGCATTCGTCAGCAACGGAGGGATCGGACCGATTCAGTTTGCGAAGCACGCGACGACAATCGCGCGAATCCGTTCCGGGATGAGTAAGTCAAACCTGTCACCGGCAAAACCGGGCGACAGTCGGCGCGAGTTATCAACGCGTAAAAATAATCGAGCGTCCTCCTACGAGCGTGCTCCCGCTCGTGACATCATCATGCCGCTCTCGTCTCTCTCGTGTTCCAGACTGTGACCTCTCTGTACGAGGCGGTGGTGCCGCCTTCGGAAAAGTGCATCAACTACGTGAAGAGCGTGGAGGTCTCGAGGTCCGAGGAAAAGAGGCTCTCGCCGGAGCCGGAGGAGGTCGTCGTGAACGGCATCGTCGAGGCCGAGACCCATCTGACGTTCCTGGACGAGCGGGAGGAGGGTCTGGCCGACCAGGTGGACCAGCGCTCCTCCGAATTGTCGCAGGTGACCTTCGAGGATAAACGTGAGAGGGAGGTGCCGGTCGAGGTCGAGCTGGTGGAGTTGACCACCAGCGTGAACGAAAGCCTGCAGTTCCCAGAGATCGAGGAGATCCTGGACTCTGGAAAGACCAGCGAGATCGGCGAGGTGAGCTTAAAGGTGATCTTCTGCGATTTATTTAAATTAATTGTTAGTTAAGAGACTATTTTTGTAGCAATTACAAGAGGTCGTTAATTCAAAATGAATGAAGATTACTCAATTCGTTTGTAAAACCCGGTCCTGGGTGAACTTTTTCACGTATAGTTATGTATAAAGTATGCTTTTCTGTTCGCATATAAGAAAAGTAATAAAAAGAATGAATTAAAAGTTATTAAAAAGATAATTTTCGCATTGTTGCTTTCATTAAAAAATGAAGTTTGTGGAAACGAGAAAATTTTCCCACGTATAATCGTATATAAATGTAAATTATGATTGTATGCATAACATTGTGTAATTATAATTTTATAATTTTAAATATTGTACAATTAGTCTTCTTTTTTCTTTTTCTTGCGAACAGACATACAAGAAAAAGAAAACCTACGTGTGAAACATATAATTATGCATAAAGAATTTTTTCCAAGTGAAACACATGACTTTAAATAATATCTAGAGTGAACGTTTGATTCAGTTTGACTTGATTTAACGTCTTCAAATTGTATTCCGTATTATAATTAACATTTAATTATAACGGTAGAACATCTGACATTTAATAATCTCTTGTATTTATCTATGACCTAAACTAAAGCGGCGTTGAATTCTATTAATCCCTCAATCTCGCTGTTGCCGACTAAGTTGTTCATCCATAATTAATACTTAATTATCATAGAATACACAATTTCCGCGGCTTCCTTCCCTGAGACCCCTTTAATATTATTATGCAATTGATTTGCATGACAATTACTATCCCGACTAATCCTACTTCCTGTCGTTGGGTGCCTCGCGCCTGTCTTATTCGCGACGTTCTCGTGCACGGTTGATTAAACGCGAAAATGATTTCGGTGCGGGAGCACAGACGGAGGACGTCGCGGTGGAGCACATCGACCTAATACGCGAGGCAAAGGAGCTGCCTCGCCCAGATCGGTCCAAAATAGGCAACCGTCAGCCGGTGACGACGACGACGTCGACCGGCGGTTCGGCCGACGACGACGAGTCGGAGAGCAACAGCGACTACTCCGAGGGTTTCGCCGAGGAGCGGCCGACCTACACGAAACTGGAGGAGATCGATCTGCTGTCGAGCATCGGCCGCGATATCGGCGTCGATCTCGAGAAATACGCCCAGCCGGTACCGGACGTGGTCGCGATGGAGTCGATCGAGAGTATGCGCCAGCCGCGGCCCGCCTCGATCGTCAAGGACCACGTGGACACCAACAAGCTGCTGGACCGCGAGCTCCCGGAGGCATCCAGCGCCGATGTTCGGAAGAAGGAGAAGATGGCCAAGAACCAGGCCAAGCGCCGTCAGCAGCAGCAGCAACAGCAACAGTCGCGAAACTCTAATTCTCAGAGGCGTTCCGACAAGCGCAGAGTTGACATCAATAATGGATCTGGTAGATATTCAACGTGTCACTTCTCTCATTCCATTTACCCCATTGCTCTAGTTTTCCTTTCCGATTCCATCTCCTTTTGTTATCACGTATCATTTACTATCTACTAATATTGTGTTTAATTATTTATGATATTCTCCTGTAATTAGTCTTTAAATGTTAACTGTGACTTGCGTCTTACTGTGAAATTTGAATATTAATGTAAATCTTTGCATTTAATAACGTTTTATTAGTGTAAATTATAATTAATAATTGTGTAGATCAGATTTCTCTTAGAAAACGTAGATATGTTATCAACATATATTTGCAATTTTCCATGTATGTATTTTTTACATTTTTATGAGCAAAGCGTACTCTTTGTAATGAATATGCGCAACATTTTATGGACTGCTCTACGGCGAGTCAGGTAATTAACCGACTTGCTTTTCAGTAATGAAAAAACTAATTGCTCTTGCATTATCAGTGATGACTGCGAGTCAGTAATTATAAGTAATTTCGCAAGTACCATCTTGAAAATGCCATTTTTTAAATAACTATACTTAAGTTTAGCTTTAATATTCTCCAAGTTTGGTCAAGTCTTCTGCGGTAAATTTATATTAAAATAAATTAATTGAGTATTTCTTGTTACATTCAAATCTTTCAAAAAATAGTGGAATTTTTAATTAAAAAATGACTACCAAATAGTAAATTTGAGACACGCTATATAAAGATATACATATGCAATATTTATTGATTGCGATCCTTGAGAAATACATGGTTGAACCAAGATAAATCTTAATTTTTGACCGGCCACTCGAGATTACATGCACGCGATGGCTCGACACTCGCAAGTTTCCGTTCGGCTGTTTCGGTCGTGCCTTCGCCACGTCGCAACGTTGCTCTAAAAGGTTCTCACGTTTGACATTCGCGTGCTGTTAAAGGTGGTTTCGACGTTTACAACATCGAGACCGCGATGCCAAAGATCGACCTGGACGCGATCGAGTCGCATCTCAGAGCCGCGCGTGAGGAGGAACGTCGGGTGAGTGATCAACTTTCTTTATCACGCTTTAATTAGCACCCGTACAGAAAAATTTCTGGATCCTATTATTACACTTCGACCTATCGTAAAATGGGATGTAGCGACAATTAATATTTCAATCTTATCAATGGAAATTTGTGAATCTAGAATCAAATGATGTTAGTGTGCGCATCGTAACGCATTGAGGGAAGATTTATTTTAAACACAGGAGTGTATAATTTTAAATTCATGTTACTTTTATTTCAAATATAGCAAGTCTTACTTAATCCGAGAGAGGAGAATAGGAATTACTGATTTAATCTTGAGTATTTTATATTTTTACTACATAAGATTGTGATAAGTTTAAATACGTCAGGAATACTTTTTGTCCTCTTATCAGAAATCCTCTCGGAGAGGGCAATTATTTTTTACGTGACACACGAGGATTGTAATAGAATTACGGGCCAATACAGGAATCTTATTGAATTTAGCATTACGTCTTTTTTTACAATGTTATATTGAGCTCGAGTCGTTCTTTTTTTATTCAAGTATTACATCTTATACGCTCTTAGATAATATTGTAATGGGAACGATTTTGTGTATATTTATCTACTAATTCGCTCTCCGATACGTAATGCAATTCTATTGATTTTCAATACTTCCTTTCTTATATAGAGATAAGTTCTTAAATTAACTCGAGCTCTCGGGTCAATGAAAGCCTTCGTCGGTTCATTCACACACGTGTATCCGACTTAACGTGTTCCAATATTCCATCTGGTTATCGTGAGCTCTTGAATACGTTCGGCAAACACCGGTTAGAGAGTCAATTCTATCGTTTCGCGTTTGCGTCGAATGCATTTTGCGGGGGCTGTGAGACTCTGTGAGTAGGCGGACACCGTATGTAGGTCTCATTTGATACCAGAACTTGCAGCAGACACACGTAACAAGACTGCCAGAGGAAACGACTCGCTTCGGATTTTTTTTAGAGGCCACTTTAGTGAAATTCTCCTTCTTCAGTTCAGTGTACCAGAATTTAACGATGAAACAATTAACAGGGAGAACAATTGAAAATGAGTGAATTACAAAAAGTGGACTTCTAGAGTCAAAACGTTCGTATTGCGCGAATCAATCTTATTCAATATTTAATCAACATTCCTTAGGGAGGTACAATTCGCACGCTTCGGCTCTGCTTTGAGTCATTATCTATAATTGATTCCATCACGAATTTATTGTCCTTGGAGTGAAATCTATTTAGTGGGGAAACTCATTTTAGATTGTGTAATCATTGCAAGAAAAGATTTGTGATTGAATTTGGATGTCGAAAACCTGGTGTCTCATATTAGGAGCCTATCTCATAATACGGGACTTTCCTTTATGGTGCACATTCCTTAAATAACGTTCAAATAATTTAATGTTCTCCAACGAACATGAAGGAGTGTGCGTAAACCGAATGGACAGAGCCACCGAATTTCGTGGAGACAATACTTGAAAGATTCTACTAATGTTCATAAGGAACAGATATTAGTAATTTAAATCTGAAATTCAAGAGTTAATTGCAACGAAAAGTGAAACTCACTCGCGAAAGAATCGGAGAACGCGAAACTGAAACCACAAAGCCACAAGAATTGCGTCTGAATTGGCCCTTTCTCGACCGTAGTTGTAAATTCAGAAAATAAACAGTTAAAAACGGACCTGATACAGGATGCCTCTTGTTTCCTCCGATCGTCAAACATTGAATCAAACAATTAAAAATGTAGAAGAGTCTGATTACTTAGCGTCTGGCGTGATAATTTATATCACGTGACTGATAAACCTTGTACGCTTCGATGGTTTTGAGCGACGGAGTGCGTGGAACGATGGAAACTAATAAACAATTTCAATTTCATTATCGTGGCTGATAAAGGGTCAGTGAAGCGAAGCTTTCAAACATTGTTATAGAAGTCGACAAATCGAATTATATCTTGAAGTCTATATTTCTGCTCGCTTACTGAATTGACTTTATTGTATAATAAACAAATTGTCCGCGCGATACATAACTTTTCCATTGTCAGCGCGAGAGAAACGTCCGATTGCTTTGCGCGCTCTCGTTTTGACGCGACGACAGATTTTGACTCTTGCCCGTCTCGAGAGAGTTGCAGCATCGTGCTCCGAATGCTGAATCGTGCACAGGGCAGAAGTCACGCATGATCAGTCAACCGGAACGCTTTACGCACGATCCCCCCGAAGATGATTTAACGATTTTTTGTTGCAACGACGCGACTGACGCTGCGGCTTGCATAGCGTAATAAGTTCGGAGCGCTTTTGCGTGCGGCAGATCATTCCTCCTCCAGCTGTAATACAATTTAATTGTGCAAATTGAATGCATAACTTTCTACTTCGTGTGCTCGATTGTTACACGGCGAAATGCATCGTGGTTGCATAATTATTTACATTGTTTCTACAGGAATGTGCACAAAGAGAATAAGCGAAACCGATCGGAAGCTTTTGGGATAAATTATTTGAAAATTCATTTGCACGCGCTCTCCTTACACAAACACAATTAATATTAACTTGTTAATATAATCTACTATGAAATGAAATCCCTATTTAAAGTTTTATTTCTGTAAAGGCTCGTGTCGACGGTGCTAGAACTTGGTCCAAGTTCTAGTAAAGTGTGTAGCCAATCAACTTGCAGCTTTTATGGAATAGCTGCAAGTTGATTGGCTACACATTTCTCGAAACTAGAACTTGGACCAAGTTCTAGCATTGTGGACACAGGTTTTTATATTCTTATTCATCTTATCTTGCCGGAATCTTTTTCGTTATTTTCCCGAAATCTTTTAAGCTGGGGACGATCTCAAGGCAGCTCGAAGTCTGTTGGTTTAATTATATTGACTCGAATTTTATTTATATTATTATATGATTAATGAATAGCGAAGTTTTAATATATTAATTTTGATCGTCGTTATATTATTAAATTAGTAAATTAAACTCCACAGCTCGTTATTCGAGCATATATAAGATTCTCATTCGTATTTCTCAAGTTTGAAGAAGAAATTTTAGTGACTTTACATTTTGGAGTAGAGATTACTTTAAGTAGCCACACTTTCGTATCTTTCAAGCTTTCCAAATAGTGCGTGTTCACGTTTTACGTCCTGGCGTTCAGTTCGTCAAGTTACCAAGCAAGTTATCAAGTTACCAAGCACACCAAGCAATAAGTTACGAAAGACATGTAACGTATAGTACGTACGCAGCAGAAAATGCAATATAATGCAAAAGCGATATGTTGGGTCATCAACTTCCTTGCGTTTGAAAGTTTTCTTCCTGCGCGGGACCGTGAGACTGTATTTCGCTATCAAACCATTCATTCCGAAAGCTATGAGCGTCTCGAACGGAGGTTCTCCACCCATTTTCCGGAGCAAATTGTGAACTCGGAAACGCGGCCGACAGGCGCACGAGTCAACACACTCTCGTCCAGCACTTTCACCGAGAATCCCCGTGAGAAGCCTTCCTAGATGCTAGGCTCCAGTAGACAGGGCCACCTCCACGATCGCCAGCACCACCACCACCATCGCCGTTGAGTGCCTCCTCCGCGGCCAGCAAACCTTAACGAAGGACCTCGCTCGACTCGCCTTGCAGTCTCGTGCCGTCTTCGTCTCGCGCGCGCACAAGTCTCGTGACTCGTCCTCGGGGTCGGTTGTACCTCGACAGCCTTGGTCTCGACCGAGTCCGATCGGCGATTCCCTTTCTAGATCACAGTTCTGCTCGCGACAGCGCCAGGAAGAGAGAAAGCGAGTCCGCGAGGCGAGCGGAAAGGGAGGGACGGTGCAAGAAACTCTGCGAGATAGGAACTGCTGATAAAACCGATTGGAATAAATTTTGCTCGGTTCACCAAGATAAAAGGAGGTGAACACGGCCAGGAGGTGCGCGATCATGGGCAGCAGCAACAAGTCGCGCAAGCATTACAAAAAGGACTCGAGATTCGTCGCGGATCTCTACACGTTCACTTACGACGATGACTTGGATTGTGTAAGGGATGCGAAGGACGAAGGGCGACAGCGCGTATCCGACGTAACTTGGATACGAAGTGACGTAAACGCTGGGGCGAACCGACGCGTTGAAATCGGAGCAATTAGATTCTCTCCGAGCTTCATGGCTTGGGGAGCGCAAAATCATCTCGCGTTCATCGCGTTTCATTCGTACCGTCTCCAAGTGACATTGATCGGCATTGATTGCTCCCGTTTTAAACTACTGAAACGTTCAACGAAATCACTTTGCGGCTTGGCACTTCGCCTCTTGGCGCAAATCTTTTCCACAAAATTTTTCAAGCCGACTATTCGGAAGACACCTGAGTTACTTCTTTATCTTAATTTGTGTCGATTGATACGATGTTATCATACAGCAAATGAACAACAATGCCAGTAAAGGATATTTTGTACTGAAATAACAATTGATTCAAAATTGATTCGTACTAATGTTGTGTATAATTTTAAGAATAATGCTGTGACAGTCGAGAATGGTAGAACTTTATTTAACATAATTCAACAAAAATTAATCATTTGCTATTATGATTTTATTTTATTACACTGTCTAATAAGATATACAATTTTTTTAGCACAAGGAAGTAATATATAGTTTCCCGTTTACTTTTTGAATTATTGAATATGATCCCTTTTATTAAATTAATTTGCCACGTCACAGTTTTGAAGAATTTGCGGTTAAAATTTCAAAAGAGAACTATTTTGGTGTATTTTGACAAAAAGGATTATTTTTAATATATTTTGGCACAATATAACTATAATATATGTGACGTGTTGAAAAAGTTTTATTGTCATCAAAATTAAGTATATTGTTAGGAGTTTCTATTTTTAAACAAAATTGTTACGTTAGTTGAAAAAAATCGGCGTGATAGAACAATTTAGTAAACGAGGTCGTATTCAGCATTTAAAAAACAAACTGAGAACCGGTTACCCTCGTTCTTGTGTGCTTTTTGTCGAACAGTGTAGTAAAACTGTCAATCTTGGTTATCATATTTTTGTTTTTTACGTTCGTTGTTGCACAGCAGCGAGCAATTATCGCGATATACTTACTTGAATTTCCACACTTTAAATAGCGAAAGCGTCTTTTACGAGCGGCTTTTAAGTGCTCTATCTAACGTCAAATGTATTGATTCGAAGCTGCTATTTAGAATGTTACAATTAACATCACGAGAGATTTGGAAACACAATGGAACGCATCAGAATTCAATTGCAAGATGCATGAGGGATCACCACATTTCTCAATCGGCCTCGTGCGTGTCCCGTTCGCGTGCGACCGACGCAGGTGCAGGGAATGGCCACGTTATTACATCTGGCTGTCAGGCTTGGATGTGTCGGACCTAACAATTCCAGATTCCTGCTCGTGTTGTCGCTCGAACAGGAAGGTCGGCGAACCGCGCGATTCGGTACGGTTCCGGACCGACGCAGGCGTGAAAGTGGGTCACGTGGAAGTCGCGGTGCTAATGAACAAGCGGATTTTAGAAGCAAGTCCCCCTGCTGCAATTATCTCACACTACGAAACTATTATCTATTAAACAATTTGTAATTCGGATCTAAAATTCCTGATGAAAGCTAAAGCCGAATTGCTTTCGTAGCAATCCATGATGTTCAAGTGTTAAGAAATTTGGATTCTACCGTTTTCGACTGTCATAAAGTGCATTCGATTCGTTTTCGAATCTACGGGAAGTCTGTCGCCCTTCGCAAGAGAATAAAGTAGTGTCGCCGCGTGTATTTACGCGTTTCATGAAAGTAACAAGCGTTAATTTGTGAAAGTGGCGTCAAGATGACGAAGAGGAAGCTACCACGGAAACGGATAAGCCCCGGGAACCGGTGATGGAAACCGAGGAAGCGAAAGAAACGAAGGGAGTGGATTCGGAAAGGCCTGATTACGAGAGGGAAGATTTGATTACGCGATTCGACAGGGTTGTACGAGGCGAATTTAATCCGCAGGTGTGAATTAATTCGGCAAACGTGCGAGGGGAACGTGTGCGGAAGTTTAGCGAGAATAACGGCATTTAACGCCGAAAGTTATCTAAAGGGCTCCACGCGGTTCTTATGGAAATTGGATTTCGGTGTAATTGGCTAAAACTTTGAAAATAAATAGTTTATGTGATGCTGAGTCACAACTGGTGCGACAAGATTTGCTCCACTTTTGTCGTAAAATTGCTATCATACCCTGAACAGCAAAATTTGCTATTTATTGACTAAAGTTTGTATTTCACCGTGATAGGATTATTTGCTCTCTACTGTGCGTAAAATTTACGATAAGCCTTTCTCTATTATTTGTAACATTATGTGACGAAAAATTTTGCCATTAATTTAAATATTGAACATCAAATGCCAGCAAACAACAGCACAATAGATGCATAGCAAGATGCTAACATTTTTGTTAGCAATATGAAAGCAACTTGTGCTCACACTGGCTATCTGGGTCGTGTTGTTCAATTTTAGATCTGGTACTAAAAAAAATTGAATTTAGAACGCATTCAAGTTCCGAGTTTCTAGATCCATATATTATAGGAAGGCATTGACCTTCTGAAGAGCCGTTCTTAAAATTTTGATAAGTTTTAAAGCATAATTTCCAAGTGCAAACGTTTCAACGTTGCGTTTTTCGGCTTTTGAATTGTGCAATATCATTAGTCTTCAACATGTAAAGCATTTCGCGTTCATGACTAACATCTACAATATGTAATACTGATATATTGTCTTTCTTGTGTTCGCAGCGACGAAACGATCGCGAGGAGATCAGGAGGAGACTCGCGATGGGACCTGATGCCGAGGATTTGCGCGCCGAACGTGGACGTAAGCCGAGTCTCCAGTCGCGTCTCCAGAGTGGTCCGTACTGATACAAATTTTTAATTTCCTTATACTAGTATCAGACAATAATTATAAATGTATACGTGCATGAATGGTTCATCTTTAAAGTTCACCAAGTTGCAATAGCTGATAACATATGTACGGCGATTTAATTTTCCCTTAGTTTTATCCGCGTATATAAGGGAAACGTGCTCATGTACTTAATATTCCTTATTATTACATTGATAGGAGCGAATAATGAGATAATCGTTAGCTCAATTCCTTCACATATGTTATGGTTTAAATGCCTGGTGACATCATAAGAATGCCCTGCGCAGGAATGAACCTCCAGATCTGCTTCATGAATGAAACATCGTCGGACACCGAGTCCCCGGGTTCGGAGAATGACATGTCTCCCGGACCCACGCCCACGTCCCTCGGCTCAAAGCAACTTGGCGGTAAGCAGGCACCAACGAGGCCGCAGATGTTGAGTCTTCCGTCTCTAAGACTCGACACGGGCGCGAACTCTACACCGCCGATCGACGAGGCTGACTTCTTCGCGCGGCAAGCCAGACTGCAGACTGAAGCGCGAATGGCCCTGGCACAGGCCAAGGAAATGGCGCACATGCAGATGGAAGTAGAGAGGCAGAGGTTGAAGCAGAGCCCCATCACCGAGATGGTGCGATGCAGCTTGGAAAAAGTTGGTGGAACTCTGATTCGTTGATTAATAATGGTCTAGGAAACACAGACTTCCCTTGTAGTAGAAGAACTTTGTGTAGAGGAAGTCGACAAAGACAGCGTGCGTTATAAATTAAAGGAATATATTTTGTTAGTTCTATAAATCGATCACAATTAAAGAGAAAATCATATGAACGTTCCGGATTGTCGATGCGGGAATAAAACAGAATCTGTTATTTAATAAACATTTAAATGGAATACGTAATTTAAATGGCTACGAAACAGTAGCTTTTTTTTAGTTTAATCCATTTGCAATTATGCATTTCTGTTAATAGATTCTATTATATTTCTGCTGGCATTCTTTCGACTTTGTAGTACACTTTCAAAATCTGTTCTTGAGCAATTTGGTTCTGAGATCCTAGTTTTTCTTCCCAGGATCTATTTATTTCTTATCTCTCGATTTAACGAGCTCTTGGATGTTTTTCAGGTCGGTGTACAGCTAGGAGAAGACAGACGCAGGTTGTCCCGTGTACTTCTCACGGAGTTGAACGTCGCACAGCTACAAGTGGTAGCGAACGACTTGCACGCGAGGATCGCTGCATTGAACGAGGCGCTCGTCGAAGGACTTCTGAGGAGAGACGATTTGCATATGGAGCAAGATTCGATGCTCGTTGATGTGGAAGATCTCACTCGATACTTGTGAGTCCTAAGATTTATAAGCGCAGCCCCAAGGCTTTTATTATATTCTTTCATAAAAAGTTATTATTTTTTCTTTTCAATTAATTTTTTAATTAAAATTTATCTACAGATTTAATGTAGGTATAATATGTGAATAAATTAATGAAAACCTTGATCTTTTAATTTTACGAAATTTCTATTGCAAGATTATTGTAACATAAAAAAATACAATAATTGAAAAGAAAAGAATATTAACGATTATAATTTTTCACGCAGAGGTGCCAAGCAGGAATCGTTGAAGAAGAAACAGCAAGGAATGCAGCAGGCGGCAAATCGGAATCATCAGCAATCCTCCTCAGCTCCGACCAAGTTGTCGATGAAACCGAAATTGACGCACTTGAATCGCGGCCTGGTTGCCCTTGTAAGAAAATAATCCTTTGCCACGAGACTGCGCAGTCTCGTCGGAAATTAAACTCCGAGCGGAGAGAAGCACCACGGGCTTTAGAGACGTGAAAAAGCGAAGAAGGAAGAAATGAGGAGAAGCCTCCCTTAGAAGGAAGAGCTTCTTTTGAAAAGGATGGCGAAGGGGAAGAGATGAAGAAACTTTTTTCAACAGACGAGAACGAAATTTTCATTAGGGAAAGAAAAATGAAGAAAACTTCTTCGAGAAAGAGAATGAAAGATATCTTTATCAAGAAAGGCGATATGGGAATTTTTTTCTCGGAAGAAAAAAATATGTAAAAAGATGATTACGTTAGAGGCCGTGGTGTGCGTGCTCGAGAAACTCTGAAAAACGTTGTAACGATCAGCTTTGATAAACGGTGGAACGGTTGCCACCGTTCTACTGGTAAAGGGAGAGCAGCAAGTATCTTTCCCCTGAATTTCCAAGAGTTTTTACAGCTTTGTCGTTAACGTGGAAGTAGAAATTTACGTATGTGCGTACCCCGCGTAAACGAGAGCAGAGCAGAGCAACGATCCTCCGTTTGTATCCCACGTTGAGATTCTCTTTCTATCTCCTTCTCGTCTATACTCGCTCTCGGCCCCTAAGCTCAGATTATGTCCCGCGACATGCATGCATGTGTCTACGAATGTGTATCGATTATTCGCCTTTAAATAATAGCGTATCATTAGCGAGAACGGCTCCCTTCTCTGTTGTACATATAACGAAGATTTATATCAGATTATCGCCGTATTGAAATTTCATCTGGTGTTTAAAGAGCGCTTCGTTCCGGTCGTCCAATGTAAGTCGTTCACGCGTGCGTTGATGTGATACATTTCGTAAAGTTGTGTTTAATTTAATTATGTGTAGAGTAATTCGCCAACAAGAAATTTCTGTATCTTACAAGTCCATCCGTAGATTTGTAAATTCAACGATTCCATAAATATTCGGATGTGTAATGTTCTTGCTTCGGTAGATCTCTAGATCCGCCAATAGAAGCCGCCAGCCGATTAAACAAATCATTCGCGTATAAATCCGTCGTTCCGCCCGGCTTGGCTGCACGAGATATCGGCGAGACGATAAACTAGTTTTTATCTATCGCGAACGACGAAGAAAGTCAATATATAACTTTCTTGAACGACACACTGAGCGCGCAAGGGAAAGTGCGAGGATGGTGAACGTCAACGGAGACGAAGGGAGTGCAACGACCGTGGAGAACGAAAAACGCGTTACATATCCAAATAGGTGATTTAGTATGCAAAAAGCGATTAGTCCATATACATAGAGCAATTTATGAAAACATAAACAGATAGAGATACTTGATGAAGCGTACCGTTCGCGGAAATTTACTCGTATGCATTGACGACCTTCGAAATCGAAATTATTCCATCGATATGGATTATTCGGTTCTTGCATCGTGTTATCGTTTTTGCATGCTGGTCTCACGAGATCTCATTCACACGCAGGATTTTCAATGTAGTTGAAATAAATTTTAACGAGTCTAAACTGCAGCTTCGTTCCTTAGATCCTCGGCTCACTCTTTTAGTTAAAATAATAATTATTTAATCGAAATAGACCCACTTTTAATAGAAGAAACATTTATGTGCTCGCGCGTTTGCATAATAATTTTTGTAATGTTCCGAAAGTATAACTTTCGATTCTTAGATCATCCCTGAACAATTTTAAGTAATTTTGTAAAAAAAATTATACGTTTAACGATTTTACACATTCCGGCATATATTATTTGTTACCGGTTTCAATGCAAATCTGTAACCCATGCGTGTGCTCTGGGAGAAACAAGTTCTCTTTGGCAAATTGCTTTCACAAACGAATAGATTGAGTATATCCAACCTGTCGACACTTTTTTCGAAAACGTCGAAATTATTCAACTGAAATGAGACAGCTTCATCGAGGAGAAAGCTGACATAGCGAGTTTTAATTGCTCGCTGGAGACATTTCCTTAAGACATATTCTCAATTACGACAATGTTGCATTATAAGATTGTCAATACATTCATATAGAGGACTTTCGATTAGTACTACGAGACGCGCTCTACACGCCATAATTAAAATTGAGAGCAAAGGTAGCTTTTGAGCTGCCACTGATCGCGTAGCACAAATAAAATAATATTTAAAAAAACGAAAGATTGCTTTGAAACACCGCGATTATCGCGAAAAATCCAACTCGAGGTGGTCATAACAGTATCATCAAAGAGAGCCACATATTATCTACAAAATACTTTTAATCGTAATATTAATTAATAATATACAGATTGTAAATAACTAAACAATAATAAAATATGCTGTAACAAGTTCTTCCTTTTCTTCCTTCCTTCCTTTTCTCTCTCTCTCTCTCTCTCTCTCTCTCTCTCTCACACACACTCACTCACTCACTCACTCATTCACTCACTCACTCACTCACTCATCACTCAATCGCTCACTCACTCACTCTCACTCGCACTTTCATTCTCACTCTCACACTCTCTCTCCTTCTCATTGTCAATTTTCTTCTAGTTTCGCCCTCATGGAGGACCAAAACAATGAAGAAGGCACGGGGCAGTACCGGATGGTGTTTCTTTTCATTATGCACCTTTCTTTTTCTCTCCCTCGTACTTTTAATTTCGATTACCACCGCGACAACGAGAAGCTTTCGACAGCTCCTCGCTCATTCTCACTGCTTCGCCAAACCGATCCAAAAAGGATGGATAAAACAGGGAGGAGCACCATTTGTTGGACGTCTCGCTGAGTTCTTAGAGCCATTTACACCGACAGCTTTTAGTTGATTAACTCCTGTCAACTTTGTTTTACATTCAGTTCTAGCTATAAAGCTATATAGCTATAAGCTATAATCCAGATGGAGGAAGAGAATTGAATCCACCAAAGTTTGTTATAATAGATGCTTGTCTAATTTATATTCAAATAATAGACATTGCTTTTATTTTCTCCATTGTTCAACTCAAATCTGGTTCAAATCATTGATTTTGCGTTTCAAATCTTGCTATCATTCATAACTCAAAATTAACTGAAATATTTCTGAAAAAAAAAGTGATTCTTCCTAGATTCTTCAGAAACAAAACTCTTTCCAGATTCCATCTCTGGCAGAGAGAAAAAGAGAGACAGAGAGAGAAAGAGAGAAAAACAGAATCATCATTCGTTTAATTGCACCTAATATCTGTAGGTTCCATTCGTGGAGAGGGATAATCTAATTAACTACAGTGTTAGCTGACGTCGATGTAAGCGGCTCACTTCGTCCCGACGAGTCTCGGCGCGACACGAGAGACTGACTCGCCGGAGGTATTTTGGAAAGAACACAGACGGCGATGACGCATTAATGATTAATTAATGATTAACTTTTTTTCTCTCTCTCTCTCTCTCTCTCTCTCGTTTCCTCGCCTCTTTCGATGCCAAGAATGGCCGAGCCGTATGGCACCATGATGAAACTTCTAAGCCTCTCGATTGTGCACGAATTTCTTCGTTCGTCCTCTCTTTCTCTCTTCCCTCATTTTCCCTTTCTTTCTGTCTCTCTTTCTCTTTCTGTCAGGATACAGCGGACGTCATTAGCTCGTATATCGTCGTAATAAAAATTCATACACTTACAGCCGTAATCCTTATCCCTACTATACAAGCTGGCACTCGCCACTGTGTATTCGCATACTCCTTACATGTGCTACCACGCTGGTCAATCTTGCGATATTGCTTCTCCCTCGCAATGTCCGCGGAGCCGACTCACGTGCCAGACTTCGATAAAAACAAAAGAAAAACGTTGATCCTCGGACGCGTGCTCAGTTTATTTACACCTCCCTCGAAAAACATAACTTTTCCCCCCCGGAAACACCTCGAATATCAAAACGTTAAATAAATCCGCTCTAAGACGCAAGTTACGTTAAAAGCAAGACTCCCGCGCGTATACCTACTGACACACACGTTCTCGGAAAACATTCTATATATGTATATAATATATACTATATATATATAGTGTGTACATAAAACAATTTCAAAATACTATACTCTTTACTATAAGTTTCCGAAATTTCGGTTTTAAAGCATCCAAAAAAAATGCCTTAAGCTAAAAGTTTCCATCAAGATTCGCCGTTAATCGTTATCAAAGGCAGTAAGAAATGTGCGTACAAAGTCGAGTATAGTTTCAATCGGGAAAATCACCGCGGAAATTCGATCGTCCGTCGAAGGAACGTTCTACAGTCTATCGTGAGTATCATGAACAACGTACAAACAGATTGTTACATTATTTTACCGTCGCTCACGATAAAACGATCTGGCGGATCTCGAAGAAGCGTATCCGCGTGATACCCGCGTTATCGCTCCGGGAAACGACAATGGCGCGCAAAGAGACGGCGGACACGGCCGGTGTCCTATCTCTCTCAATCCCTCCCTCCCGTACCATATCGTATCGTATCTCGTATCACCCGGTATATAAGTAACCCTGTTTTCTCCAGCGTTTTCTCGAACTTGGAGTCTCGCTTACTCTTAGCTGCAAACAGTAACATTACGATCGCGATCGCTATTTCGATTACTCTCGATCTAGGAAATTATTGACAGTCTACTTAAGTCGCCAGGTGCGCAGAGAGAATCGCGAGGTCGTAATCGGTTACGACGGCCCGCACGGTCCCCGCTGACGTCGTTGTCGAGGGAAGCGGGGCATCAGATCGTGAGCGGAGTCTTCCCAGCATCGTCAGTACTAACGTTTTCCAGGATCACTTGCCCATACTGGCGTTCGCCGGCAATGTTGCTGATCGTTGTTGCACCGATAAATATGGCTTCAAGGTCGACCTTGTGGATTCCCTAAAAAGGAAATTGTCGTTACGTCTGCCGCTTATACGCCCACGTTCAATCGAGAGGCACAAGTGAAAGATCATCGCACAGTCAAAGCCACAAAAACACCGCAAAGCACGATAACTGAATGGTATGCAGAGTAAAAGGTGTAAGCTAATCTATTTCGTGACAAATGTTGAAAGCTGAAAATTCGATACATTTGTGCGGTAAAACTACACGTGCTGTCCTTGATGCACACTTTCTCAAGTTCACACTCTTCCCCCACGGAAAAATATTTATTTCATTATATATAAAGAAAAGTAGAAAGGATACGTTCTTTTTATATTACTCGTATATGCGTTATAAGAAATATATACTGCTACTTTAAATGTAATACCAATAAATTGGAATTTTTCATATATCATTCATATGTATCAAAAATATATAATAAAATGTATGATATATATACATTATAATACATAACTGTGTATATAATTATATACGTCTAATGTATGCATTGTATATTTTTTATATTTTATCATTATATATTTTATATAAAAATATTACAAGAATACTACATTAGGTGTTCTAAGTATCTTAGAATTTAGGTTCCCAACGCTTTACCAGCGGAGAACAAATTGATTTCATTTGCCACAACTGTTAGATCTGATTTCTCGCCACTTCTTATATACTGCTATTGGCTGATTTTTAAATACGAGAAAGTGTAACGTGCGATCATCGCCTCGCGGCAGCGAAGAGCGTTGTTGCGAAATTATAAAAATATAATTTAAATATTGTTCATACATTTCACGTACATTTTTAGTATATTTTTGACATATATAATAATATATACGATTTTTTAAATAGAATTTTTATATACCAAATATGTATGAAATTACCATGTATTTTCACCTACTTTTTGAAATATATATTTTTCCGTGGGGGGTTCGACCGTAGAAGTTGAAAGAAAAACCGCTCAAGTTTTGCTCGTCACTCATAAATCATGCATTATACTAATATGTACACAAATATATACAAGATCGATATAGGAACAATTGTCTTTCTTCCTTTCCAGCTGACAAATTTTATGACATCGTAATCTGAAAAATATTTTTCATAATGCAACGTAACACAGCAAACTGTAACGCAAAGCACTTCCCAGTAGCGATCTTGAATATCTTTAAAGTAAACTGATCTCGATTGGCTTTGATGTAGTATTTAAACCATTACTAAGAAGAGAATACGAAGCATCTCCCAGCAGTGATCCCGATTGTCTTTGAAGTAATGTTTAAACTATTACTAAAAAAAAGAATCAATCTTGTTCGTTTTGGACTGCTACAAAGTTTCTTAACAATGTTTACTCACATTATAGATTTTCTTGTTTCAATTCTATAGAAAATCCTAGTCTTTGTACAGTGATTTTATATAATTGCGTAACGTTAAAAATGCGCGGCACACCGGTTTGCAATTTCAGTTTTGCGCGTAACGGGTCCTCGCGCGACGATCGTCGAGAGCAGGAAGTGTCGGAAAACGAGAAGAGAGGAGGGAGAAGTTGAAAGAAAAATCAAACGAGTCTAACCTCTCTACACCCACATCATGCGACGCCACAAAATAAGAGAGCTACTTAGTCCCCGCTCACGTCGAGCAGCAGCACGGCTACGCTACCTTGGCGAGACACGCTGTCCCGTGCCGTCCACATGCGAGTTCGCCTTGTAGCCGCATTTCTGGACGCGCCTGGACAACCGCGAGACCCAGTACTTCTGATCCTCGGGATTCGCCGCAAGCAGCAGTAACTCGCGGGCGCTGTTCGGATCGTAGTGCAGTTTGCACGGGGCTATGGCATCTTCTTTCTTATCCAAATGCTCCTTGTGAACCTTAATGCGGCACCCTGTAACGATGACAAGTTGTTTTATATCTTAGACGCTGTGGCCCGCGTGTATTCTGAAACCTCTTTTCCTCCATCAATAAAGGCGCCTGTAAAAGTGGCTAATAAGTCTTCCGGTTGGCTACAAGCCACTTTTAAAGGCGCTTTTATCGATAAAAGAGGATTCGGAATACAGGCCAATGTATGTAGCAAAGTAGATAATAAAGAAATAATTGTAACAGAGACACGCACTTCGGCATTCGAGGGCCGGCGAAGGCCGGAACATGTGCCAGAGTTGCTTCGAACAGACCTCGCAGGTCGTCGGCATGTGATAAGATATTGACACGAACTCATGGCCCTTCAGCGACTGAGTGCCGGGTTTGTCTGTGAGCTGTGGTAAATCCACTCCAGGCAGTGTATTGCCCTCGTCACCGGGCCGCCTCGCTTCACCTTCACCAGCATAGAGTAACTGCGTACGACGTTAATTATTGGACAGTGTTGATTCAAGTGTACGTAGGATTAACAAGTTCCTTATATACCGAATTTTCTTCGTATGAAAGCGCGTCATAATAAATTTGAACAAAATATGTAAAACAACGAAAAAGCACTATGATATAAAGGTCAAAATTACATAAATTATTAAAACGCTACAGGAGTCAAGAGGGATCGAGAGAAATATAGGGGTAGATACCTGAAATATTCTGGGTATATCTTTGGCATTGGCTCGGATAACATCACCCTGAGTAACAGATCTAACGTGGAAGACTTTGTTCAAGTCTAATATCAAGACCGGGTCGGCGTTCATTTTGTCATTCTCGCTGTTGTAGAAGATTATCTTTTTGGAGGAAACAACGACGTACTGCTTCTTCCAACCATGCCGCTTAATGTTCTGCTTATTTGGCACATTTAACCAACCCTCTAATCTCATTGCACCGTGCTCGGACAGGACCGAGTCCTCGCCGTCGTCGTTCTCTATTGACGAGACACTCGCGGTCTCCGAGTTGAGCGACGCGATTTTCATCTGCAACGTCTCTATCTCCGAGTCCTTCGAGTCAAGTTCCATCTGCAGTCTCAGCTTCGCCTGATTTTCTTCCACGAGTTGCGCCTGGAAGGTAAAAGAAATTGGTTCTCTCTTATTCGCTCAAGTAATGCTGTATACCGTTTTGCGACACGATACGCCACTTACTTGCATATCCTGCAAATCCTTCTGCCATTTAGCCGACAGCTGAGAGTACTTCTCCCTCTCTTGAGTGAGTTCTTGCTGCAGACGCCTGCAATCTTTCTCCTTCTTTCTCAGATCTGCGGCGGACGCCTTATTCTTGTTCTTCCCGCTCGACGAAAGGTCCTTCCGATTCATGATCTCTGCCAGCTTGTTAACCGCCTGCTGCTTTAACAGCTGCTCGGTCTTCAGCTTGCTGCTCAGCTTATCGATTTCCTCCACGTTGAACTGCGCTTTACCGAGTTGTTCCTGCACTTCCTTATATCGCTTGGCCACGTCCTCTTTCTCCTTCAAAGTCAGCTCGACCGATTTCTTGAATTCACTCTCATTCTCCTTAAGTCTGTTTATGATCTGCTCCTTCGCGCTCAGTTCTTGGTGATGCTTGGTCACTCCGTCTTTGTACTCCAGCTCTTTCATAGTTCTCTCTTTCTCCAAGTCCGCCACAGTCTCCTCGGCTATGGACCTGGCCAGAGCCTCGCTGTCACCGCGCGCCAAGGACAACTGCAGCTGATGCACCAGAGAACTACGTTCCTCTTCCAATTCCTGCTGCAATCTCATCTTCTCATCCAACTCTTCGCGCAGCTCTTGCGTCTGTGTTTTGTACAGAGTCTGAAAAGAGGAAAGAGAAAAGCTGTGACTCTTCCTGACAATTTTAAGTCACGACGATCTTTTCGCAATACATCTTTGAATCGTTAGTTTTCACGTCTAAACACTTTTCGTTCATATTCCTTTACTGTTATATAATAATTAAAATCACGCGGAAGCAAACGTTTGTTATCGTTTACCGAGAAATAAGCTTCAGCCTCCAATTGCTCCTGCAATTCTTTCGTCTGCAGCTGGTCGATGTTTCTTTGTGTTTTCAAGTGATGTAACTCTTCTTCTATTTGCCGTTTAGCTTCTCTCAGCTGAGCAACCTCACCGACCAATTGTTGCTCGCGAGCGCGAAGCCTGCCGGCTTCGGACGTTTGCTGCCCTAAATCGGTCTGCAGAACGTTCCTTTTCTGCTGCTCCTGCTCAACCTGGCCCTGCAGAACCTTGACTTTCTCCATCTCTTGCCTGTGCTCGCCCTCTAATTTCTGCAATCTTTGCTGTATCTGTCTGTAATCGACCGAGAGCATTGACGTCTGACGTTCCTTTTCCTGCGCAAGTAATTCCGCACGTTGTCTTCCACTTTTCTCCTCGTTTAGTTTTACTTGTAGAGCTATTAATAAATCAACAGGCGCAACGTAAGTAACGGTGTAATGCACTTGCTTAAATTAAATAGATGGATATTAGAATGAATACATACGTAACCAGATATGTCGTTACAAAAATACGCAGCAATAATAAGAAGGTAAGTAAAGGATTAGTATAATGAGAATAGTTCAGTTTTTATATACACGTAAAATTAATTTAAGTACAAGGGAAAAAGGTATAGTCGCGAATCACATGTGTTACCTTCGAAAATTCCGTTCGTCTGCCCTGCATGGCACGGACAAGATAAAACGTGCTTCATCAAAAAATACAACGCCTCTATTTCCATGTAGAACTTGAAGCAAGTACCTTTAACAACCTCCAGATTGGCCTCCTCCTTGGAGAGGATGCGCGAACGTTCCGTCTCCTGGTGCGCCACAACTTCCTGATTGTACCTGGCTTGAGCCGCCTTGAGTTCCACGGTTAAACTAGCAGCTTCCTTCTCCAACGCGGAAACTCTTTCGGTTAGCTGCCTATTGTCCAGAGTCGCCTTCTCCTCTTTCTCATGACTGTGTTCTAGCTCGAGATGCAAGGCAGAAAGACGAGTCTCCAATTCCGCCGTCAACAATGACGCTTGCGACCTTGAACTACGTTCCTTGGAAAGTTGGCCCTGTAAAAGAATAAGCTTTTTATGCAGAAGGAGATTTACCTTGGGAACATTTTTGAAAATCTTAAACACTAGTCTGAAAAGTAAAACCTGATGTAATTTGTGTAAATATTGGTGATTGCTTTCGAGAATTTACTAAATTAAAAAATATTTACATACACGAAAATGTCCGTTAAGATATCGTTAAAAAAATGCTTAGACCTAATTAACGAGGAAGCAAGAAGAAAGTATATTATACCTGGAGACTGGCAACTTCCTGCTGCAAGTTGTCACGTTGCGCTTGCAGCTGGGCTCTAGCGACTTGCAACTCGTTCGCCATTTGCTCGGCGGCTTGGCGCGCCACGGTGATCTCCGTCGCTTGCTTGCGCATCCTCGTGACAGTTTCCGTTTCTCTCTCCAATTTGCATTGCATCTCCTTGATCTGTTTCTCCAATGTCGTCACTCGCTCGGACGTCTGCTGCGAATTACTGACATCCCGCGCCCGTCTCGTCTGCTCCTCGTCAAACTTCTTCTTCACTTCCACCAACAGCGACTCCGCCTTACGACGAGTCTCAGTTTCGTGCTCCACTCTGCGCTGCGCCTCCTTATAGTTGTGCCTGAGTAATGTCAACTCCTTGTCCGCCCTGCCGACTTCCTCGCGCAGCTCGGCCTCTCGACACGCCATCGCGTCCAACTGGGCGTTCAGCGCTTTCTGCCTCGACTCCATCGTCTCTACCTGCCGCCTCTCGCGTTCCAGCAAATTCTCCAGCTGCGAGATCTTCACGTCGTCAGTAGTACCGTTGTTGACATGATTCTCGAGACCGTCCACAGATTCCTTGCCGTGAGCAACCATTAGCTGGTAATCAGCTGAGTAAGTGAAGCCGATAAATGGCAGGTGATTCCCGGCAAAAGCTTTGGGTACCGGAAAGCTCTCCTCCGGCCCGTCCTCCTTGTCGACATCGTCGAAATTGCTGGTGTCGTCGTCCCCGGAGAGCTCGGGCACCACCGGCGGCACGCATTCTCTCAGATTGTCAAAGGTCCACTGGTCATTCTTGAAAAACAGATGGCTCTTGATCTCGTCGACGCCGTTGCGACCCAGGCGCTTCGTCCTATCGGTGAGGAAACCGCATATCAAGTTCTTCGCCGAGTGAGATATCTCGACGTTCTGAGAGAAGTAGAGCGAGTTCCTGTGGTCCATGATCTTGGAATACGTGCCGACCAGAGAGTCCGCGAAGAACGGTGTGTCGCCAAACAGCATCTCGTAAAGAAACACGCCCACGGACCACCAATCGCACTCGCGGCCGTACACCCCTTCGCCACCTTGCGACTGCAGAACCTCCGGAGATATGTAATCGGGTGTACCAACCGCGGTATCGGACCGTACTAAACCGTCCTGCAAAGTGAACGATTGAGCGTCAGAAAAGTTTTTAACTGCACGGAGAGAATGTTTTTTTAATTTATCCTGAAAATCAACGTGGCATTTCGAACAATTTCATGAGAGTTTTTCGAAATTTTACTAGTAGAATGTATGGTAAAATTTAAAAAAAAAAGAATAAATAAGAGAACATTCTCTACGTGTAGAAAACGAGAGCTTACACTGTTTAAAAGTCTCTTTCTTTGAACTTGGAAATGTTTAACCAAGAACGTTCTCATCGCGCGAGTTATTTGGTTTAAAATGAGGAACGGAAAAGAAGAGAACTCTTACAGCATCCATCCTCATGCACGTGCCAAAGTCAGCGAGCTTCAGGTGGCCGTGCCTGTCGAGCAACATGTTGTCCGGTTTCACGTCTCTGTGAACGAAGCCCATGTTGTGTATCGCGTCCAGTGCGAGCACCACCTCGGCGCAGTAAAACTTGGCCCATTTCTCCGGCACCTCGTAATTCGACATCAAGTTGACAAGATCCCCGCCCGGCATGTAGTCCATCACCATGTAGAGATACTTCTGGTCTTGGAACGCAAAGTGGAGCTGGACTATCCACGGCGAGTTCGCGTGAGCCATTATGTCTCTCTCCTCCCAAAAGAATGCGGAGTCCGACCTTTTGATCTGAAACAGGCGCGGCGAAAGGCCGGGATGAAGGGGCAATATTTACATGCGCGACAAGCGAATGGAAGACGCGCGAGCGGCGACGACTCACCATTTCGAATTTACTAAGTAATTTCATAGCGTAGACTCTCTGCGTGGATTTGTGTCTGACCAACTGCACCTCCCCGAACGCGCCGCGGCCGATCACTTTTATCAAAGTGAAGTCGTCCGTGCGCATTCGCATTTTATAAATCTCCTGGGCCACAGAGTCATCTGCAACAGCATAAACGGACACCATTAATATCGACGTAGCGCCTTGTACCTTCAAGACAACATTTTGTGCTGTAAGTTTTTCAGTAATGCATACTACGGCTGCCACAGAAGACAACGTACGCAAGGAACACACGCGCGTAAACACACGGAAGCGGCAACTTTACTGCACGACTATTAATACTGGATGAAGATTTCACGTATGTTGTCTCGAAATGACGGGCCAAGGCCCAGCGAGAAACGAGCTGTTATCGCGTCTGCGATAAACAGCGGTACTTACATCTGTTCATATAAGCTTCTATATTTTTCATACGCTTGACGCTCGCATGGTCGCAATCCGTTACCAGGGCCTGAACCGTGTCCAGCAGGCAGTCGATGTTCGTGACGCTCCTCGGATCCCTTATGCGCTCCTCCAGAGACCGCAGGCGTCTCCGCCTGTCCTCGTCGCACACCGCGTCCATCTCTCCGCGCAGGAGCTGTGGATCACTGTGCCTCAACAATGTACCGTTGCTGTCGCATCAAAAGCTATCGGGCACGGGCGCGGGGCTAAATGCAGCACAGGCTCGGGCGAGGCGTAACCGCGACGCCCGACAGACGCTCCATACTTTCTGCGCAGACAAACGTAAACATGAGTACACGAACGCCGGGGGGATCCCCTCTAGGTGACTGCACGTACGGCGCCGTAGGGTCGCGGGCTCTCGCCTTGCACGCCGGCGCGCACGCATACCTCGCGAACGTCGCGGGAGGCGGTAGAGCGGCGTGAACGCGCGTTCACGCGCGGCCCCGGCAGTATTTTCAGTTCTTATGTAATACACGGGATACATGAAAGGTACGTAAACGTCACTTGTTGGCGGTGCCGAGGTAAAGCAAACAACTCCGGCCGAATCTCCACGCAGACGCAGGCCTTCCTTGGAGTCGCGCGAGGACGGGAGAGAAATACGCGCGCGTATCGTTGAACTCGGGGCAGTGACTCAGCCCGCGTGTAATTTGCAAGGCGACGACGATCCGCGCTGTCGCCCCGCGGAGAGAAAGAGAGAGACGGGCAGAGAGGCAGAGAGAGAGAGAGAGAGGGAGAGACAGAGAGAGGTTACGTCAACGACACGCGTCGCTCGCCTCGCCCGTCCCTCCGCGGGAGCCACGCGGACGACGCTCGTCTCCTCGGGGCCGCCTCGCGCCTAGGTGCACCAGCGCGCGGCGACGCGCGCGTACGTACCTCACCGACGTCGGCCTGCGTCGCTGGCGAGCGCTGTCATCCGGGCCGCGAGCGAGGGTCGTCCCCGGCGAGGCAGGCGGGCGCGCGTTTACTCCGCGCGGCGCACGGGCGTACACGTACGCGTACAGCTGAGCCGTGCGTGCGCCATTCGGCCGATTCACAACGGTCGTCGAAGCCACCCGAGAGAATCCGCCTCGCTCTCGCACTCTCTCTCTCTCTCTCTCGCTCCCTCGCTCTTTCCCACCCGCTTTCGGCTTCCTACTTACTCCGTCTGTCCTCCTCTCTTTCTTTCTCGCGCCCAGGGCTGCCCGGGGGTAACGCGCGCCGTTTCCGCGCGAGAGACGGAGACGGCCGCGGTCCTCACGGCGACGTCGCGACGTCGGGCGCTCGCGACGCCCGGCCCGTCGAGCCGCGGGGTAAACGGCGGACGCCAGGCACACACCACGTCCACGGGCACTTCCGCGGCACTCGGATCCCTCGCCTCTCCGCGCCGCGGTGCTATCGATCGCCGCGGTGAACGTGTTCGGTCTGAAATCAGCCGGAGGAGGCTTTGCGCGTTACCGCTAGCGGGTAGGCGGGGAAGGGGGGGAGCGGGGCGGGAGGGGAGGGCGCGCGCGGGCACGTCTGTCGTGTGGAGAATCGTCGAGAACGGAGCAGCGGCGCGGGGCGAGCGTCAACCGCCTTGGAGAGCGCGTCGGGCGGCATCGGGAGGGGGAAGATCGGAGAGCCTCGAAGAGGCGGTGGTGCCGTGGTGGTGGTAGACGGCGACGACGACGCCGCCGACGACGACGACGACGACGGCGGCGACCTAGTAAGATGGCGTAGCGTTCCGCGTTGCGACGCGCCAGCATCGGAAACGACGTGAAGGACGAGGACGCTTGGGTCCCGGTCGGCGCCTTCGAAGACGATCCCCAGGGGGGGATAGGTGGGCAGGTAGGTGGACTGGCTAGCGCTCTTCCCTCTCTCTCCCTCGAGCTGCTACCTGGCGGATGTCGCACGCTGTATTTATAGCGCCAGCGCGTATCCCACGGAAATAAAATACAAGGTGAGTAGGCGCGTAACGTCATCGCTTCCTGGCACGTGAGCCCTCGGGTTGCCCGCCGGCCGACGGTTCACTCTTGCCTTCACGTTGCAGTCCGAGTACATGTAACGCGCGCCGCGAAGATGAGCCTACCCTGCGACTGGCAAACGAACAAGCAGAAGCTGTCGGAGCGCGGGCAGCATCTGCTGGAGACCGGGCAGTGGTCCGACTGCAACTTCATCGTCGGCCAGGAGCCGCAGCAGCAGACCCTCAAGGGACACAAGCTGTTCCTGGCCATGTCCAGTCCGGTCTTCGAAGCCATGTTCTTCGGCGGCATGGCGGAGAAGAACGACCCGATACCGATAAGGGACGTCCAGCCCGAGGCGTTCAAGGCCCTGCTGGAGTACATATACACGGACAAGGTCGAGCTCGGCTCCTTCGAGCTGGCCTGCGAGCTGTGCTACTGCGCCAAGAAGTACATGCTGCCGTCCTTGGTGGAGGAGTGTACCAAGTACCTGTGGTGTGACCTCTCGCCGAAGAAGGCGTGCAGGGCGTACGAGTTCGCCAAGCTCTTCGAGGAGCCCGTGCTGATGGACAAGTGCCTGCAGATCATACGCACCAAGACGGACGAGGTGCTGAAGGAGTCCAGCTGGGAGGACGTAGAGCTGGGGACGCTCCTCAAGGTCCTGGAGCAGGACGACCTGCAGATCAGCTCGGAGATAGAGCTATTCACCGCCCTGGAACGGTGGGCCAAGTCGGAGTGCGCTAGGAAGTCTCTCGATCCGACCAACGGAAAGTCCCTCAAGTCCGTCATCGGGAATGCCCTCTTGAAGATAAGGTTTCTCAACCTGCTGCCGCAGGAATTCGCCGAGGGCCCCGGCATGTCTCCGCTGCTCACGAAAGACGAGGCTTTTGCCATATTAATGAATATACTGTGCACGGGCAACAAGACACCTATGCCCGAAGGTTTCTGCACGAATGCCAACAGCAGAGCAAAACCGGCCAAGATTCACTCCACGAGCCTCGGGCGCTCCACGAGTATGGGACTTCCTGTAAGTCTCATGATTTTTCACGCGCTTCCGTATGTTTGATGCTTTTCTGCAGTTTTTATCTGGTGTGTATGAGACAGCGAATTCGTTATGTGCAATTGGCGGAAGTCTATGGGCAGAATTAAAAAGTGTCATTTCGAGGAAAATTCAATAAGCGCCAAGTTGAACTGTAAAATCTAATTTGAATATCCAACAAACTGACACAAGTTTTAAATGTATTTGGTAACGCTCCGAGTATTATTCCATGTTTCAATTTTATTGGAAGTTTCAGTGAGAATACCCAGAAAATGAGGGAATTCTGTTTCGATAAATGAGTAGACACCTTGACATAGGTTTAATTAATTTCTTCAACGCCTTTGCGCTTTCCTCATGAGACATTTCCTCTTACAGATGTTGACTGCAAGACCTATTTTCGCTCCGTACAGCAATTTAAATATCCCCGTACGCGTCGGCTTTTTAAACGACGGGGAGTCCAGCAGCAGTACGATGAGGAACACATCACCGATACTGGTGGATGCGAGCATAAATAAGGATTCTGGAAACTTGCCCAATACCTCTTCCGCGGTAGTCGTACGCGAGGGACCAAAGTATTATTGTCTAAGATCGGTAGTTCAGCAAACGGATTGCCTGAATACAAATGTGTTGGACTGTTCCGTCACGTTCAGTGTGGATAAAAATATTTGTGTGGTGGGTGTACAGGTTCCTACGCAGATCGCGGCGGTAAGTTTGAAATTGCACGTCATCTGTTGCATTCGTCCAGTCGTGTGTCGTACATCTCACTCGTTTCATTTATAGGCGAGCAATTTCACTCACGCCATTGACGCTGACACGTCTTATACCGAAATTTTGTACGCCCATCTCCTCGATTGCGACGGCACCCGGTTGACGTACACACACTTCACCACCAAGGCGAATTTTGGTACCCTCGTGGAAATCACTTTCAATCGACCAGTTTACATTCAGAAGCATAAGGTTTGTTATCGCAACATGATCACCCTTTCCGCCACGTACAATATCAAGTAAAAATTCATAAAGCGAAGACTCCCTTTGCATTCTCAAGCGTCGGAGCTTCTCACTTTCAAATTATTGTTTTTAACCGATTGCACATTTGTACTATGCAATTGTTTTGTTATCAACAGATTTATCGAGTCGGCGTGGTGTTCAATAAGGCTGGATGGTATCCAGTGGGAATTTGCGCCCAAAACATGTCCTGTGATTCTGTGTTCTTCTCGTTCGGCGTTGGTAATACCGCGCATGCAATCCGCGACGGTCTTATCCGATCTATAGTTTTCACATATCACTAGCGCAACGAATCGGGTGACAGATAAAATGTGTACACACTTTAAAGAACTTCGTCCACTTTTGCAAAGGTTTTTAGGCCATCCGAATTTCTCTGCCCGAATCAAGTAGAGAACAATGTGCCAGCGGCGCGACTCCAGAGCCATATCTGACATCTCACTCGAATCAAAACCGATATCGTTAGGTCAGAATTGCTTCGAGCGCGAGCTTGAGGATCTAAAATTATTCTTTTTAACACTACCTTTTTACCACTATTACCTGCAAAATTACATTGGCTATTTTCTTGTCCCAAAACAGGACATTCCGAATCTATCGACTATGAGTTGATTATTCTCACATAGAGCTGCGCGCCTACGTTATTTACAAAATTACAATTGAACACGGACCCGGATGGCACAAAATAGACGAAATTCTTTGTAATAAGACAGAAATTTACTCTCTTACGTTGTATATTATATTATTTTATTTTTTAAAACTCATCGATGTCTTTTATTGCAAATCTCGAGACCTTGGAGAAATTATACCAGTATACTCATCGACTCTAGTTATAAAAATACACTTTATTCTATAAAAATTGTTTCTTTTTAAACTGATACGGGCAGTATTGATATGATTGTGCATTATACTTTTACTAAATAGTATTGTACAGTATACTTTTACAAAAAGACGAACCTGAATTTTACTGTTTATAAAGAACTTTTATTATCTCGCCTTACATATGATTTTTTCATATATTTCGATTTTTCTTATAAAAAAATCAATTAAAAAATACAATACTTGTAAAAAGTAAAAAGTTTATAACTTAAAAGTTTCACTTACATTTCTACGTGCTCTAATTACATTTGTCATAAAAAAATGTCAAAATTTAATTATAAAATATATATACTTACATATATTTATATCATTTTCTAAACATATTTGCGATTTCTATAAATATCAAACACCGTTAAGTAACGACAAAACATTTTATAAAATATAATAGAATCAGTCTATGCGCAAATTCGTGTTTAACTTTTTACAATTAAAGGATTCACTGTTATAACATTATTCCATATTCGTGGCACTTGTTGCGCCATTATAATAAAATATTTCGTCACATAAACATGTGCGAATCATAACATTTGCTAAATCTTTTCATGTAAATACGTTAATAATATCAGTTTCGGAAATTCATATGTTTCAATACATAACGTTCTAGTTAAAAATATTACGTCTTGTATAACAGGCTTCGTGATGCTTACGTTTGGCGAATCCTCACGTTTTATGTACAATGAAATCCCAGGTATCTTTCCATCTTAATTTTATCACGTCCCTGGCAGTGAGAGCTGATGTCCCATAACTAAATACAATGAATTTCTTGAATACGTAGATAATAAAAAGTACCCAAGCGATGATACCGCATGTTACGGTATACAACGAAATGCTCCATGCTGGACGACGAGTGCTGAAATAGAAAATATAACAAGTAGCTCATTGTCATTTTACCCGAAATGGAATTGTATTTAAGTTTGCGCTTTTACTAAATCGGAGAGAACATACCCAATTAAACAATACAAGTGGTCAATTGTAGCTGCCGTTAATAAGACTTTGAAAATGAAGGCTGGTAAATAGTGATGCAAGAACAAAGTTCGTTCAACGAATACGAAAGGTAAGAAATGAAGGAAGTATCCAGCTAGCAGCACGTAGGCGTTGTTAACGAACTTTTCCCACTCTTCCTCTGAGATGTCGAAACATTGTCTTCTCCTCCTCATTAAATAAAATATGAGTAGCGTTACATAAATGATTACTGAGATAGTACCGGAGTACCAAATCACGATGTTTCCCAAAAGGTGCACTTGTGCCTGAAACAACGCGCAAAATGTTCACTTGTAAAAGCCAGCGAAAATTTGAAACTGTTTACGGATCCAAAATTTATTTAGAAAAATAAAAATAAGGTAAGAATAAAGTGATAAGAAGGAAGGAAAACGTCGAACGTATTTAAAATCTGCCTTATTTTGTCTTAACGACGCGTCGGCTGCGCGTAGAATTGTTTCCCCACTCACATTGCTGTCGGTGGATACCCAGTACGCGATCCCGCGGGACATAAACGGCCACTCGGAAGGCCCGCTGGAATACATGTGGCTGTTCTGACTCTCTTGGCCGCCAAACAGCATCTTGACCTGCAGCTCTGCGAATTTCTCCCAGAAGCTCAACGCGGTCGCCTGCAGCGGTATCATCTCCGCGCTGATCAGCTCCCGTTCCCGTTGCTTCTGGTCCTCGCTTTTAGTATACCGATGCTCCTCGACGTTCCAGATGGAGTTGGTCTGGTCCACCAGCCGGTCCGCCACGACCTCGTGCTGATTGAAGCCCCAGTCGGGCAGCTGCCTGCCGCTGAACTTCAACGCGAATTCGGCCCCGTTGGCGTGCACGTGTATCAGCCGCACCTGGCTCTGAATCGCGTGCCACGCATCGCCGGAATGATCTCTGTTCGTGATCTCCACCCGCCATAGGTTCTGCGTCGGCATAGACACGTTGTAGTCGATGTAACACGACACTTCCTGGCTCTGCGGCGTCATCGGTGCCGCGACATCGTGCGAGTTCAACGCTCTGCTCGTGATCCCGTGCACCAGTTGAATTACATCACCGTGCCGGATCGGCTCGCTGGGTTTTGTCACCACTAGGTCGTTCTTATCCGGCTTCTTGACGATCCACCAGTTGTTGACGTCCTTGAACGAATAACAAGTAACCTGCTGCTGATGAGAGCTGCCACGACCGTCGGGATATCGCAACGGATACACTTGATTGTGGCTGTGCAGCCAACAGGCTCTGCCATACGTGTGCCTGAGAGTTATCTGCGAACCGTGCGTCACTTCCAGAGGTTGCCCTTTAGTGATGCTGGCGAGTCCTCCTTCCAGACTCGCTTGGAAGGCACTCGTCATCACCGAGTCGTGCGGCCCCGCCTTCGAGAGTGTTGCCAAATGTACATAGAATATACTCAAGTAGACGGCGGCGATAACAGCGACTATCACGACGAATCTCAGTAATAGATGAATCCACAAGATCGTATTCGACAGGGTCTTTCTTGAAAGTAGGGACCAGTAATCATGTGCGATCAAGAAGAGCGCGAGAGCCATAGAATAAAATCCAACGTACTTGACGCTGTAAAGGAATGCTTTGATTACTGTCGATCAAGGAGAATAAAAGAAAACGGCGAGGGAGAAGATTGTACCATAGTGCACATGTTAAATTCACGACGCCTAATATCAGCCATATCCACCAGGATGCGGAGGTCGGTCGATCCATGACTTTCCGAAATTTTACGATGCACAACAAGCCGAGCAATGAGAAGTGCATCAAGATACTTTCCATCAGGACAAATCTCGACTGTGTTAACAGCGCATTATCTAAAACAGCAATGAGTACATCGATAAATCGTGTCGACACAATGTCATATAAGATTGGATTTTGAAATATTAAATAATAAAATAGCTATGCGAATTAGAGGAGAGCCCTCGGGGATTCGAGGAAATCGGGAATCGGAGTGAATTAGAGGAAAGCACTACCGAGTAAGAGTAACACTCCGCCGATTGCTGCGGCCCATTGTCTCAGGCCCAGCTCCAGGATGAGATAGTATCCCGTGGGGATCAACAGACTGCCGCATATCGCCGGCACCAGACGCAACGCGTACAAAGGAACCGCATCGCTGTAAGGACTTCCGATCCTGTCGAACTTGAATTGCCCGTCAAATCCAGCCAAGTACGCCACTGCGGAGATCAATTGCTTCCCTAAAGGCGGATGGGAGTCGAAGAAGAACGTTCTCTTCATGTACAATCCGACGTACTTGCCGTAATGCAGTTCATCGAAACTGCAAAAGAGAGAGAGAGAGAGACGAGTAATTATGAGAGATCGGTAAACAATAAGATAATAACTGAACGGACAAGAGAAAACTAATGCTTAGCCATTAAATTTTCCCAATTTGCAACTATACATTTTTAACTTCCATATCTTGTCGTCATCACGTGACATATTTACCAATTACAAATCGTCCTCTCGCCAGCGTTATATTATTTGTCGCAAGTGCATATGTACTTACACTATACTGCGCGGTTCCTCGAGGCGATAAAGACGAGTGCAAATGCCCGTAATTAGTAAAATCGTTGCTATCAAATCAATTTCCAAGCTAATCTTGATTCGTGCGCGAACCGCATCGTCCGGCAAGAGTTGCTTCGACTCGATGGAATAAGACGGATTTGCTTTCTTACTCTCCATCGAAGTGTTCGCATCTGTCTGTCCGTTCGTCTGCAATAAATCGAAATCAATACAGCAATCAACATGATGCGATCAGATCTGATTTTGGAAGAAATTGCAAGCAATCGAGATATAAGATGCATGGATACAGTTTCTTGAAAGAAATCTTGTTGGTCTATTAATTAATCTGTGACATTTGTGTACCGCGAGGAAACACAATTTGAACATCTAGAGATTCTTAATTTTATTTTTTCCATATATAGCTGTGATAAATTTTCAATACGGTATACAAGTATTTCTTTTTACATCGTTTACCCTTTCAATTTCACCTCTTTGGACAGGTTTAAAACTAATTTTCTCTTTGTAAGGAGCTCATTTCTATCTCGAGTCTTTCGTATTTGGTCAAATGTCTCAAGAAAAATATAGAGGAAAGTCCTCTACAGGGTTTTTGCTAAATTAATCGATAAATATTGGTTTCATCGTGAAATTATTGGAGTGAAATCCGTTTAGTGGAAAATTCATTGTTAGATCGTGTAATCGTTGTGATTTGTCATTAAATTTGGATGTTGAAAACCTGCTGTCTCGTATTAGAAGCCTATCTCGTAACAGAGGACTTTTTTTTCTCTATAAGATTAAGATTTGTTGTATCACAGCAGCATAAGTCAGATGAGGAAATGTGTCGGTGTCCAATTTATTTTTGAAACTTAATTGGCCGAGATACCTTCCAAATTAAATATAACTTTAAAACAACACAACACTAATGACGTTAAAACATCTTTCTCTTACAAAATCGGTCTTCCAACATTTTTCAATAAAAGAAGCGAGCGACAAAAGTATTCCGTGCACAATCAAATATACAACAAGTAATACAATAATGTAACGATTTATCAAATTAAAAACCTCTTATGTACTATTAAAAAATATCGATCTCTCCTGCGCCGTACAAGGGATTTTTATCCCGAAGACTTCTGGATCTTTAAATCGGAAAATCAAGTGTCGCCTCGACTCCTCGCGCTCGGTTCTCGCGACGAATAAAAAAAAACTCCGCGTCGCGCATACTGACGAGCGAAACGCCGCGGAGGCACACGTTTCCCCTGGGCCCACCGGGCAAGAGTCGTCGGGTTTGAACGTCGCGGCTCACCTCGTCCCGCTGAAGCGTCCTCGGTTGATCCACCGTCGCGTCGGCGTCGTGCTTGCCGTCCTGCGGCCTCGCTCGCCTGCGCCGGACCTCCATCGCCGTCGCGCCCAGACTCCGCTGGGAGGGAAGAAAGGGACAGAGGGCCGCCCGTCGGGGACCTTCGCTCGGGAGCGACGCGGGTCTTCCGGCCGCCGTTTAAAGGGACAGGTCGCGGAGTCGCGAGATCCGGCCGCGCGCCGCCCACGTCAGCTCTCGACCGGCTGGACCCCTTTCCCCACGAGGCGTCGGCAAGTCCCTCCCACCCCCCGAAGATCCCGAGACGCTCCTCCGGACGGCCCCGCTCGGCGATCGAGGCTCTCGAGGCGCGCGCGCGCGCGCGCGCTCCCGCTGCTTAGGTTAGCCCGAGCTTGACATAACGGTACTTACCGTCGCCGGGCATCGTCCGCCCGGCGGTGGTTCTGCGCACCGCGCGGCAGAATCCCGCGTTCTCTCCCGACCCCGAGGCTCGCCCGTCGCCGTCGCCCTCGCCCCGCGATCGCTCCCGAGCCCACGTGCGTCGCTCTCGCCATCGTCCTCCCCTCTCGCCCTCCCCACTCCTCAGCAACCACTTCTGCGAGGGGTTTGCACTGGTTTGCACTTTGCACGGGGTTTGCTTTCTGTTCCCGCACTGGTGAACTGGTGTAGCGTAGAATGAGAGAAAGTGTGCTCGTCTTACTCTAATTTGTTGCACTAGTTCACCAGTGTGGCGACAGAAGACAAGCCTGTTGGTGAACTAGTGCAACAAATTGGAGTAAGACGAGGCATGTTTCTTCTCATTCTGGCATGCTGCACTAGATCACCGGTGCAGGTACAGAAGACGAGCCTGAAGATATGCTTTTCAAAGCGCGACGTGTTGCTTTAGGTGCGTTCCGTTTCGTTGGTTCCATCATTTGTCCTCGCTATTCGCCAAATGTTAAAGAAGGATGCACCGAAATTAAGTAACGCGTCGCTCTCGCCGCGACGAACGCTTTTGTTGAGGACACGAGACGATGGTTGTCGGGGAAAAATAACGCGGCGGCCGAGTCGGTTTCTGTCTTTCCGAAAGTAACACTGTGTGCAACAGGATCCTTAATTCCTTTTCTGTAAATAGCAGGTTTGTCGCATTCCGGACACGAAATTCAGTAAGATCGAAAGGTACACGCCGTTACAATTTCGCGGCCCACTTGACATCCCCATTGTTTCTATTGTTATTAACATATTATTATTTACCGTTGTCTCTATCACGTTTCAGTTATTCCGCGTTGAGAGAGAGATTTGTATTTGATTCGTCGCGCTTGGCGGACGATCTTTGAATAAAGAGGCGGCGTTATCGTTAGTTTATCATAAACATGGACGCTGACAAGGTATTGTGTCCGATATGCGCCAAGGAATTCGCCGCCTCTGTCATCGAGGCCCACGCCAGCAAGTGCCTGTTCCTGAACGAGCCTACGAAGGACGCGGGCACGGTGTTGCTCAAGGACTCCAGTCCTATGAGCAAAAGGAACAGGCTGAAACCGGCAAGCGTGAAAAGAGTTAATCAGCCACCAGTGAAGAGGAAGACTTCTCTGGGCCAGCTGGCGTCTCAGAGTTTCAGGGACGAGGAAGACGTTAAAGACGCCGTGGCACAGAAAAGCGTAAGTTTTCCACTATTGTAGAACTGCGATAATTGTGGCGCTGCAATGAGATTCGTTCGCACAATCGTATAAATGACACGCTTGCTAGCAAAATATCTATTTTACACGATGAAATGAGCTTGTAAGTAGACAGTTTGCTTCCAAGAGTTTTTCAAGTCCAAAATATACGCCAAGTGTTCTCGCGTGGCAGTTTCCCCCTTCTAGAACCTTGTAGAAATAAGATTGGTGTATAAGAAATGACTTTTGTCTCCTCTTCCTCCTCCTCAGCTTGTCGCCGTGCACTTCTGGATCCAGGCCTCCTCCTCAGCTTGCCCATGTTGCCCTCCTCGATGCCATTTGCATCCATTTCCTCCTCGCAATCTTCCCAACGTCGTCCAGCCACCTCCGCCACAATCCCCTTATGTTTACTCACGGACTCTTACTTACAGACGGATAACGAATGCAAGAGGCTACGCGGAAACGAGCGTGCACCCCTCGCGGAGCAAATGAGACCTACGTCGCTACTGAACTTTGTAGGCCAGAAGCACATCCTCGGACCCCGCACCATGCTCCCTGAACTCCTGCAAAAGGGTGAAATACCTAATATGATTCTCTGGGGTCCACCTGGATGTGGCAAAGTACTGTTGCACGCTCGTTAGAATTTTCTACGCAACGTTGGCGCGCGTATATTAATCTCCGTTTCTTTGCAGACATCTCTGGCTAATGTCGTAGCGCATATGTGCAGGAACGACGCGAGCCGTAAGCTACGGTATGTCAAGCTCTCTGCCGCAATGGCCGGCGTTCAGGAGGTGAAGGAAGTCATCGGTATCGCCGGCAACCATGCCAAGTACGGGCAGCGCACGATAGTGTTCATGGACGAGATACACAGGTTCAACAAGCTGCAACAGGACGTGTTTCTGCCGCACGTCGAGTCGGGCGCCATCACTCTCGTCGGGGCCACAACGGAAAATCCCTCGTTCAGCTTGAACTCCGCGTTGCTGAGTCGATGCAGGGTGATCGTTCTGCACAAGTTATCCGTCGCGAATCTACTGTCGATCCTGAGGCGTGCGGTAATTTCGCTGGACGGTATTATACATGAGTCGAACAAAGGTGAAGACACTATGCGGGACATCAACGAAGAGAACACGTCGGAGGAGAGTAGAGTCGGGACGGAGCCGTCCTGTAACACCAAGTTCATCATAGACGAACCGACGATAGAATGGCTGGCTGGGACTTGCGATGGTGACGCTCGCATAGCGCTGGGTGGACTGGAAATGGCGGTGCGGTGTAAAGCATCGAACGACGAGGAATTACAGGACATCGGGCCGGCTATAATAACGCTGGACGACGTTAAGGAGAGCCTAAAGAAAACGCATATGCTGTACGACAAGAAGGGCGAGCAACATTACGACATGATCTCCGCGTTACACAAGTCTGTCAGGGCCAGCGACGAAAATGCCGCGCTCTACTGGTTGACCAGAATGATCGCCGGCGGCGAGGACCCGGTTTATATCGCGCGAAGATTAGTGAGGATGGCCAGCGAGGACATCGGCTTAGCCGATCCGAAAGCTCTTGGTTAGCAAATTGTCCGTTTATAATTTTCAAGCTCACATACGATATAATGATTGGAATTCTCCGAGTGTATATATTTGTGAAACATTTAATATGTACGGTAACATGACGAATAGTTACATTTACGATTAATATTTATGGCACGGCTGGGCTTTGCTGTAAATTTGACGTAAACGATATATTGCGCAGGCATAGCGGTGCACGCGATGCACGGTTGCAAAATGATCGGGATGCCGGAGTGCGATGTTCTTCTGGCGCAATGTACGACCTATCTAGCGCGAGCACCGAAATCCAGACTGATGGAAGATTCGCTTAGAGCCGCGCAAAGAGCAGTAGCCGAACATAAGGGCCCGCAGCCGGGAGTACCCCTGCACCTGAGGAACGCCCCCACGAGACTCATGAAGGATTTGGGTAAATATTTTATTCGTCACTTGAGTGCGCTCTTGATAAGTCCAATTATCATCTCAGGGTACAGTAAGGGATACAACATGATGCACAAGGATGAATCTGGACTGAGCTATCTGCCGGAGGGATTGGAGAATTTGGATTTCTTTGGAGATGACGGGGACGATACCTAGAAACGCTGTGTTTTAGTTTGGATATATTTTGTCATTTCTTTCGTAACAAAGAGATTTTTTATTACATTTTATAAGTTTTATACCAACTCTTTCAGGAATTAAAATTTTAAGTATAAACATAAATGTAAGCTATAATATGTATATAATATCTACGTATAAAATATTTTTGTTAACAGTATACATGTATATAATACTGTGAAAGCATTAAAAAGCTTTAGTGATCCCTCGCGCGGCCAGAGAAGTAATATTTCGATTTAGTTGAATAAAAGTAGACGTTAAGTTCAAGTTCAGATAAATGACCCACCAGTTTCAGTCTCTCTTATGAATGCATATATTTCTTCCAAATGATCGTTTTGTTATTAGCGGGCATATCTATGATTTCTATTAATTCAATGCCGTTCTCTTCAGCTAACTTTTTCAAGTCTGTTACATCTCGCAGACCCCAACTTGGATCCTGCGATTTTAAGGACTCGTTGAAGTTCACGTTACTCTGCGGAGTGATCTGGCCATCGAAAGCGTACGCGCCGTACGTGATTAATAGCCCGTTCGGCTTCAGCAACTGGCTCGCATTGTTAAATAAACCAATGGTGCACTGGTACGGCGAAATATGCATCAAGTTTGCATTATATATGTACTCTAGACTGTTCGGCTTGAAGATACCGTTACCCCACAGCCGGAAGTCCGTGGTGATGTCAATTCTCATGGGGCTTTTTATATTCGAGTATCCATTCGTGTACGCGGCGATGCTATCCAGAAGTCGCGGCTCGTACTCCGACGGGTAAAACGTGATGTGTGGAAAATGCGGTGCGAAATGCGCTACGTGTTGCCCCGAACCGGAGGATATCTCCAGGAGGGTCTGATTGGTGCCGCGTTGGATGTACCGTTTTAAAACCGATAATATCGGATCCTTATTGCGGTCCGCCGCAGGATAAACGAGCTTTCTGGCAGCCATACTGTGCGACCTTGAAGAAATTTCAGTTTCACTTCCTACAGAAAGGTTGTAGATGCGTGTATTATTACGTAATATCGCCTGGCTGTTCTATTGCAAAGTGACACGTGCAGTGAGCTTTGTAAAGATTTGTTAAAATACATCATACATTACTTTGCCCCGATTATCTCACTCGAAAGATTGACTTGTGCCACTTTGAAATTAAACAGCTCGAGTAGCAAGCATTCGTCAATTTTAAATGCGCATCTCACCTGTGATTAACAGCGTAATGAATAATATTCATTTTTATACTATGCTAGTCGTGACATTTGTAGCAAGAGATTGTATACCCTGAAAAATGCAAATATTTTCTTACTAAAGTATTATATAAAATGCAAATATTTTCTTACTAAAGTATTATATAAAATTGCACACTTTTACTTGGTTAGGAAAAATTATCTACCGCGGTAAATCTTGATTATTGAAACTAATACAATTATGGTCCAATACTCAAGAAACTTTTTGATACTTTAATAAACTTAAAATATACAACAGAAGAATAAAAAATAAATAGCATCGTGATGATAAAGAATAAAAGTAGTATTAATTTAGTGACATTAAGATTTATTGATTGATATAATCATTTATAATACAACTAGCTGTTCATGATATATACTGTCCACCTTCGTGGTTTGTCGAGTCACATTTTATATTTGATTGCTAATCTTCATTTCTGAATCAATATAATTGTCCCAATGAAAGTGGAGAAGTCTCGTTAAACAGTCCAAATTTTAATAGGTCTTTGTACAAGATATGTACAAGAAATTACAGCTCCTATAGAATCCTCAGAAAACGCGTATTGTATATAAAAAAAAGTCTCCCGTATCAATCGTATCGTACAAAGTATGTTGCTATTTAGTTACAATAATTAACTATAACTTGACACTTCGAGCCGGCCTCAACGTTTCCTTTTATCAGAGTCGTCTTTTCCTTTGGGTGCAGGTTTTTTCTTTTTCTCTTGGCTCTTTTTGTATTTCGTTAATTCTGGTATATATACAGAGTGTCCGGTTTTCTTTAAGTGGTCGAACAATTTATTTTTGCTAGAAAACTCAGATGAGCAAGTGACACAGCGATGGGCCGAATTGTCAGTATCCACGAGCGAGTCCCTTTTACTTTTGCCCTTGCTGTCTCGTTCCTCTCTCTTGAAGCCTTTCCTTGCTCTGTCGGTCTTCAGTTTCTCATCGTCGACACTCGCTCCTTCCGTCACTCCACTTTCACCCTCCGCTTCCTGTTCCTCTTCTCTGTGCGTCTCTCCCGTATTTCGCAACTGCTTATTTATCTCCATTTTCCTCTGCTGCAACTTCTTGCGTTGCTTCTTCGACAGCAACACTTCCTCATTAATGCTCTCCGTGTCGTCGTCGCTGGGGACCTTGAGCATAGAACTAGGATTCTGAACATTGCGCTTCTTCTTCTTCTTTTTCTTCTGACGGCTCGACAACGCGACGTCCTCCTCCTGATCAGATATTAATTCGTCTTCGGAGGTCATGTCGTCATCCTCGTTTTCCACTTTAGGTGAAAACAAGATACCTTCGCCCATCATTGGACCCGCGGCCAGCGGGACGTCTCCGTCAGTCTTTCTTTTCTCGCCCGCTGGTCGAGGACGTTCTGGATTTTCCTCATCGTCCGACATCAGCTCGGCGGGAGAGGCATCACCCTCGTCGTTCCGTCTCGAATCGCTTTGGGGCGGATTCAACAGGAAATCGGGCATCTGCGAATCCGCTGCCAATTTCGGGCCGCTTAGCGAAACCGATTCCTCTTCCGTGCTAGAGTCGCTTTCCCGCGAGCTACTACTAGCGAGGTCTTCGTGTTCGTTCGGTATGACGTGCTTGAGCGCGCTAACATTTTCCTTGTGCTTCCTCGAGTTCTCGTGATTCGTGAAGGCCTTGTGCGTCTGGAAGATCTTGTCGCAGGCGATACAGTAGAACGCCTCGGGGTTGCTGTTCCTCGCCGTCACCTTCCTGTCGTCCGTGCCGAACTCCGCCGTTAGGTTCGCCTCGATGTTGCGCAGCTCCGCCTCCACGTTCGAGAACTTGGACCACTCGGACTCGGTTTGGTCCCGCAGCAGCCTCTGCCTCTCCAGCAAATGCGCCTTCCTGCGCTCCTCCGCCTTCCGGAAGTTGTCGCGGGCGCGCTCGGCCAGCCGAGCCGCGTACGCCTGCACCCGCTTGTCGCGTTTGCGCACGAACGCGACCAGATTCCGCACCTGCTCGTTCCTCTCGCGCCTCGCTTTGTCGCGCACCTTCTTGTTCTCCTTCTCGGCGAGCCTGAGCACGCGCCGGTTATTTCGCATTTCGCGTATGTCGTACGGGTCCAGCCAGGCGTAGGACCTCTTGGTGCTGTAGCTCTGCCAGTAGGCGTAGAAGTCGCCCACCGCGTCCTCGTACGGGCTCTGAGAGGCGCCGAAGCCGGGCACCTCCTCGTCGGACTCGCCGTCTCTGGCGAACTCGGCGTCCTCCGCTGCCAATTGCTCGAAGACCTTCCTGTAGACGGCGTAGAAACCGTTCTCGTCGTCCCCGTAACCCTTGAAGCACGAGAGGGAGAAGTACGGGAAGAGATTGATGGAGTCGTCCTTGTAATCCTCCCCGATGCCACCCTTCAGGATGGCCTCGCGATGATTGTCGTACCAAGCGCGCTCGTGCGGGTCGCTCAGTATGTCCCACGCTTGCTGGACAAGCTGGAACTGCTCCTTAGCTTCGTCCGGACTGTCGAGGTTCTTGTCCGGATGCCACTTGAGCGCCAGCTTCCTGTACGCCTTCTTTATGTCGTCCTCGGGGGCGTCCCGCGCGACTCCCAGTACTTCGTAGTGACACTTCATTGTACGATTATGCACACAACTGCTCCGGACACAATTTCCTTACTTTAAACCACAAACCGTACGCTAAAAGAATTGCGATTATTAAACCATGCGATCAGACAGCTCTCTAGATAATGTTAACGTGCACTTGGATCGGAAATGATTTACGAGCTAATTCGCTTCGTCGCGCGAACGCAACGAAACCGTATGTACAAGAAAAAAAATAAATATACATCGCTACCAGGAGGCGTTAATTTTTATACAAGTTTTATGCAAGTGGGAGGCAATGGCGGTTTGCAAATTCTTGAGATTCATAGCGGTATTGACTTTTTATCCACTTACCAGGTCTCAAGTGTTATTAGGGAACGTGTTATTAATAACCTATATTCTGCCTTCGTATAGAAACCTCTTCAAGTGCCGAGTGACGGCGCAACTTGGCAAGATCAATTGGCAGGGGAGACAATAGAGCGCAATTTGATCTCGTAAATGGTTTCGAACCGAGGCCAGAGAGTTTCACGCTTTGTTATTCTGCCCAGAGGGAAGTTCGCGTGCGGGAAGCACACGTGTGCCACCGAACGGTGCAGATATCGCGATCGCGCGTTTACGAGATCATCCACAAACATCCATCCCACTCGTCGTCGTTGACGACACCGGACGACACTTCGAAAGAGGAGCGGTGCTTACCCGACTTCAAAAGCTTATCGATCTTATTTTGTCGACGACCCCGCTGCGCACAGCTGACGCGCAATCGATGTAAAATATTCGAAATCGTAATTAGTAGATAACGACGGCCGTATTTAGCGCAAAATTATCATACGTAGTCCCGCGACGAAGTGTTCGTAGCTCGACGGTCTGTTCTTCTGCACTGTCTCGCACTTTCTACACTTAAAATGAAGCTGACGTATGTGTATGCCCGAGCAAAAGTGGGGGGAAAAAAAGGGAGAATAAGCGAAAGGCGCAAAGAGCTCATCTACGAATTCACGGATCTAAAGCCCGTATCGGTTAATTAACAATTAGATATTGAAATTGGACCAATCGGAGCAGGTGCTCAAGTTTAATGAATTTTGCTCCGATTGGTCAAATTTCGGTCAATCTCAATTTGTTGCTTCACGTCTATTTCTACCCGATGCAGATTAGTTTTCAAAATCTCGGCCTGGCAATTAATTTTCATCTTTTCCTAAGAATTCATCAGGCTTTCTTTTGCATGCAGTGAAAATGTTAAAGCCTCGTCTACATACAAGTCGTAAAGTCGTAGTCGTAAGAATAGTCGATTATGATTGGTCAATTCTTATGCGTGGTCTACAATGCGAGTCGCAGAGTTGTAGTCGTAAGAATAATCGACTGCGATTGGTCAATTTCGTCAGACACATAAGAATTGACCAATCATAGTCGACTATTCTTACGACTACGACTTTACGACTTCTATGTAGACGAGGCTTAAGCCTCCGCTACAAATGATTCTCGGTTCTGTCTACAATGGTCGTAGTCGTAGTCGCTCGATAAGAATTGACCAATCGCAGTCGATTATTCTTACGACTACGACCATTGTAGACAGAACCGAGAATCATTGTAGCGGAGGCTTTAATCATTGTAGCGGAGGCTTAAAAAGAGACAAAGTCTGTTTACTTCTTGCGGTAGTAACACAGTATAACCAGTAGGGGCACTCGTTCTTTTGTTTCACGTTCGCGCCGATCCGTACTGCGCATCCGACATGTTTTTATAATGACCAATCACAGGATTTTTGTACGTGTGTTAGTGCAAAGTCGGTGTGACATTAAAAAATTCACAGTGTTGACGAATAACGCGTAAATACTTTTATACGTTGGAGCAAGTAAGTACATTAATTACTTTCATTAAAACAATTTTTTTCTCAGGCCATTTCCATTTACAATAAATAATGTATGCCAGTTCATATGCGCCTTTCCTGGATACGATCCTGAAAAGGGTTCAGGCAGGGGGTTTAGCAGTTGATACACTGTTGGCGCTTATGAAATCATGGCGGAAAAGTGAAAACGCCCAGATCAAAGGTGCCGACAGATAGCGTTTTCGATTTGCTGACTCGACCCGACTCCGAGTCAG